ACAAAAAATGGAAAAATGTCCTCTGGTGAGGATAAAAAAAAAAAAAAAAAAAAAAACTTCGAGAGGACTTCAAAGGAAAAATCAACAGCAATACAATCATAACAGGGGACTTCAACACCCCGCTGACATCACTGGATAAATGCTCTAGGCAAAAAATTAACAAGGAGCCCTGGCCGGTTTGTCTCAGAGGTTAGAGCATCAGCCTGCGGTCCCGAGAGATCCGGGTTCGGTTCCCGCTAAGGGCATGTACCTTGGTTGCAGTTTGTCCCCGGCCCTGGTTGGTTGTGCGGGTGGCAGCCACTCGATGTGTCCCTTTCACATCGATGTTTCTTTCTCTCTCTCTCTCTCTCTCTTCCTCCCACTCTACCTGAACAAAAAATGTCCTTGGATGAGGATAAAAAAAAAAAAAAAAATTAATAAGGAAAACAGAGACTCTACATGATTCAATAGATCAAATGGATTTAATAGCAATATACAGAGAATTATACCCCAAAACTGCAGAATTCACCTTCTTCTCAAGTGCACATGGGACATTCTCAAAGATAGACCACATGTTAGGACACAAACTAAGACTCTAAAAGTTTAAGAAGATTGAAATCATATCAAGCATCTTCTCAGATCACAGTGGCATGACTCTAGAAATCAATTACAATAAAAACACGCAAAAACATGCAAACACATGGAGGCCAAATAGCATGTTATTAAAAAATGAATGGGTTTCGAAGGAAATCAAGGAAGAAATTAAAAACTTCCTGGAAACCAATGAAAATGAACACACAACAACAGAAAATCTATGGGATACAGCTAAAGCAGTTCTAAGAGGGAAGTTCCTAGCACCACAGACCTACCTCAAGAAACAAGAAAACTTCTTAATTGACTTTCTAACTCTACAACTTAAAGAACTAGAACATAAACAAAAAGAAAACCCCAGAGCAAGTAGAAGGAAGTAAATAGTAAAGGTCAGAAATAAAGGACATAGAAACTAAAAAACAATTCAAAAGATCAATAAAACAAAGAGCTGGTTCTTTGAAAAGATAAACAAGATTGATAGACCTTTAGCCAGACTCACCAAGAAACAAAAAAAGAGGACCCAAATAAACAAAATCAGTAATGAAAGAGAAGTAACAACTGACACCACAGAAATACAAAGGATCGTTAACAAATACTATGAACAATTATATGCCAACAAATTGGACAATCTAGGCGAAATGGACAAATTCTAGAATCACGCAGTCTCCCAAAACTGAACTGGGAAGAGAGAGAAAACTTGTACAGACCAATAACAACTAAAGAAATTGAAGATGTGATCAAGAAACTCCCAGAAAACAAAAGCCCGGGTCTGGATGGCTTCACGGGGGAGTTTTACCAAACATTCAAAGAAGAACACCCATTCTTCTCAAATTATTCCAAGAAGGAAGCCTTCCAAACTTGTTTTATAAGGCCAGCATAATTCTAATTCCAAAACCAGATAAAGTCACTACAAAGAAAGAAAACTACAGACCAATATCCTTGATAAACATAGATACCAAACTTAACAAAATACTAGCAAATCAGATCTAGCAATACATGAAAAAAATTATTCACCATGACCAAGCGGGATTCATCCCAGGGATGCAAGGCTGATAAAATATTCGCAAATAAATGTGACACACCACATAAACAAAATGAAAGATAAAAACCACATGATCATATCAATAGACACTGAAAAAGCATTCGACAAAATCCAGCACCCATTTCTGATAAAAACGCTCAGCAATGGGGGAATAGAGGGATCATATCTCGACATAATAAAGGCCATATATGAAAGACCTACAGCCAACATCATACTCAATGGGCAAAAACTAAAAGCATTTCCCTTAAGAACAGGAACAAGATAGGGATGTCTACTTTCGCCACTCTCATTTAACACAGTACTGAAAGTCTTAGTCACAGCAATTAAACATGAAGAAAAAATAAAAGGGATCCAAATTGGAAAGAAGGAAGTGAAACCATCATTATTTGCAGATGATATATTGTACATAGAAAACCCTAAAGATTCCATCAAAAATCTACGAGATTTGCCCTGGCTGGTTTGACTCAGTGGTTAGAGCATTGGCCCACAGACCAGAGAGACCTGGGTTCGGTTCCCACTAAGGGCATGTACCTTGGTTACAGTTTGTCCCTGGCCCTGGTTGGGGTTGTGTGGGTGGCAACCACTCGATGTGTCTCTCTCCCTCATGTCACTGTTTCTCTCTCTCTCTTCCTCTCTTTCTCCCTCCTGCTCTATCTGAAGATAAATGCAAAAATGTCCTCAGGTGAGGATAAAAAAATCTACTAGATTTAATTAATGAATTTGACAAAGTAGCAGGATACAAAATTCACGTCAAGAAATCAACAGCATTCTTATACACCAATAATGAACTCACAGAAAGAGACACTAAAAAAAACAATCCCAGCCCTGGCCGATTTGGCTCAGCAGTTGGAGCGATGGCCCACGGACCAGAGAGTCCCAAGTTTGGTTCCTGCTAAGGGCACATACCTCAGGTGCAGTTGGTGCCAGGCCCCATTTGGGGTTGTGTGGGTGGTGACCACTCGATGTGTCTCTCTCACATCAATGTTTCTCTCTCTCTCTTCCTCCCTCTTTCCCTCCCACTCTATCTGAACATAAATGCAAAAAAATGTCCTTGGGTGAGGACAAAAACAAAAACAAAACAACAACAACAACAAAAAAATCCCATTTACCATTGCAGCAAAAAAATTAAAATACCTAGGAATAAACTTAACCAAAGAAGAAAAGGACCTGTTCGCAGAAAATTACAGGTCATTGAAAAAAGAAATAGAGGAAGATATAAAAAAGTGGAAGTGCCCTGGCCGGTTTGGCTCAGCGGTTAGAGCGTCCGCCTGAGGTCCGGAGAGACCCGGGTTCGGTTCCTGCTAAGGGCATGTACCTCAGTTGCAGTTTGTCCCCGGCCCTGGTTGGTCGTGTGGGTGGCAGCCACTCGATATGTCCCTTTCACATCGATGTTTCCCTCTCTCACTCTTCCTTTCTCTCCCTCCCACTCTGTCTGTACAAAAAATGGAAAAATGTCCTCGGTGAGGATAAAAAAAAAAAAAAAAAGACTGAAAGTGAAATAATTAAACAAAATTTTAAAAAAGTGTAAGTATATACCTTGTTCATGGATTGGAAGAATTGACATCATTAAAATGTCCATACTACCCAAAGCAATGTATAAATTCAATGCAATCCCCATTAAAATACCAATGACATATTTCATGGAACTAGAACAAATACTCAAATTTTATATGGAACCAAAAAGACCCTGAATAGTCATAGCAATCTTGAAAAAAAAAAAGAACAAAGTAGAAGGGATCACAATATCGAATATTAGGTTATACTACAAAGCCACTGTAATCAAAACAGCCTGGTACTGGCACAAGAACAGGCACATAGATCAATAGAATAGAATAGAGAACCCAGAAATTGACCCAAAACATTATGCTCAATTAATATTTGACAAAGGTGGCAAGAGCATACAATGGAGTAAAAACAGCCTCTTTAATAAATGGCGCTGGGAAAATTGGACAGCTATATGCAATAAAATGAAGCTAGACCATCAACCTACACCACACACAGGAATAAACTCAAAATGGATAAAAGACTTAAATGTGATCCGTGAATTCATAAAAATCCCAGAAGAAAATGTAGGCAACAAAATTTCACACATCACACCCAGCAAAATTTTTTACTGATACATCACCTAAGGCAAAAGAATCAAAGGAAAAAATTAATACATGAGACTACATCAAACTTAAAAGCTTCTGCACAGCAAAAGAAACAAGCATCAAAATGCAAAGGGAACCCACTACATGGGAGAGCATAATTGCCAATGATACATCAGATAAGGGGTTCATTTCCAAAATATATAGAGTACTCATATAACTCAACAAAAGAAAGATCAAGAACCCAATTAAAAAATGAGCAGAGGACCTAAACAGACACCTCTCCAAACAGCACATACAAATGGCCAAGAGACATATGAACAAATGCTCAGCGTCACTTATCATCAGAGAGATGCAAATTAAAACACCTATGAGGTATCACCTCACACCTACCAGAATGGCTGCCATCAATAAATCATCAAACAACAAGTGTTGGCGAGGGTGTGGAGAAAAGGGGACTCTAGTACACTGCTGGTGGGAATGCAGACTGGTGCAGACACTAGGGAAAACAATATTGTGTTCCCTCAAAAAATTAAAAATTGATCTGCCATTTGACCCAGTGATCCCACTTCTAGGAATATATCCTAAGAAGCCTGAAACACCAATCAGAAAGAATATATGCACCCCCATGTTCATAGCAACACTATTCACAGTTGCTAAGATCTGGAAACAGTCCAAGTGTCCATCAATAGATGAGTGGATAAAAAAGCTGTGGTACGTATATATAATGGAACATTATGCAGCTGTAAGAAAGAAAGATCTCTTATCCTCTGAGACACCTGGAGGGACCTGTAGAGTATTATGCTAAGCAAAATAAGCCAATCAGAGAAAGACAAATATCACATGATCTCACTTATTTGTGGAATATAATGAACAAAATAAGCTCATGAACAAAATAGACCCAGAGACATAGAAGTAGGGTACAGACTGACAAACCTCAGAAGAGGGGGTCAGGGGTGGGGTGGAGGTAAACCAAAGAACTTATACAGGTATATGCATAACCAATGAATATAGACAACAATGCCGTGGGGGTCGGGGAGTGGGGGCATGGGGATGGGATTGAGAGGTGGGTGTCATTGGGGAAAAAAGGAGAAACATCTATAACAAAAGGAAATTTAAAAAATAAAATTAAAGAAAAAAAAAAAAGCAATGGGGCTCCTAAGCAAATTACCAGAATTAATGACAACAGATTACCATTGAATTTGATTTTACCAACGCTTAACCTACACTTCAAATAAAGTAACTTTGAAAGTGCATTTTCTGTTCTATTCAAGTCTTTACAAGAGAAACAAATATATTACCTCCTGTATTTCTTTTTCTAATAGATCCACTCTTTCACGAAGGTGTCTCCTCTCTGTGTCAATAGAAAGAAGTTCCAGTCGAACTGAGCTGCTTTCTCCCTCAGCTTGATGGGCTTTGACCTCCCAGTCTTCAGCACGGTTATGAAGCATTTGAAATCTATCTAACAAATCTTGATTTTCTTTTTCCTGGTTTAAGTATAATTAAATTGTTTCTAAATTAGTAATTATCACTTACTAGAATACCCATGTCAGAAACATATACACACACTGGGATTTTTCTTTTAATTTAGGAAGCATAAGCTTTCTGTGCAGACACTATACTAAGATCTGTGGGGAAATATAAAGAGACAGTAGGCAAGATCTCCATCTCAAATGTTAATAATCTAATAAAGGAGGCAGAATAAAAAAATATAAAAAAGTAAAAAAAAAAAATTGGTCTTAAATCCAACCTGAACATTTTTCTTTACCTTAGCAGCCATTAAACTCTCCCATCGTGACACCTCTGTTATGTAATTGTGAACTCTACTCTTCATTTCTTCTTTCTCTTGCACTGCTGCTTCCAATTCCAGTGAGACCTCCTATAAATCAGAAAATTGAAGACAAATCTAAAATGACCATAATACCTAATGAGTTCTATTTCTATTCAAATAGCTACTTTTGAATTTGGAAAATAAGAGAGAATTGGAAAACTGTTCCTAAGTGTTACTTGTACTTATTTTCCCTGACTGATCTTCACTTTTTAACTGAACATTACCACATATCTTCCACAGTAGTCCTAACCATGTATCTGGCTCAAGGGTTGGCATTTTAAAAAACTCATTTATCAGTAATACGCTTTACATGAAATAATGCTGAAAATAATTTAAAAGAAAACAAAGTATTTTAAACAGGAAAATTATTGGTCTTCTAAGTACAATCCTTTAATGAACCAGTACAAACAAAGCTAATACCTTGAAGTATTTAACATTCTGAAATATTCATTAATATGCCTGGCCGGTGTGGTTCAGTGGTGAGCGTAAACCCATGCACCAAGAGGTCATAGGTTCAATTCCAGGTCAAGGCACATGCCCAGGTTGTGGGCCCAATCCCCAGTTGGGGGCATGCAGGAGGTGGCCAATCGATGTTCTCTCTCATTGATATTTCTCTCTCTCCCTCCTTCTCCCTTCCTCTCTCTCTAAAATCAATAAAGGGAAAAAAAAGTATTCATGAATTTACTTATACCTATAAATAAATTAAGCCTGTCCACTGGAAGTAAGTATGAATAATTAAAATCTATCATGGGTCTTTAAAATACAGCAACTTTGCCCTGGAAGTGATGCTGAGGTCCTCACCCAGTAGGGTGACAACAATTTCTGCCATAGAGAATAAACACCATGCTACCAGCTTTAGAAGTCCTTACAAAAAAGACCAAAATGGTAAGGAGACCACAGTTGTACCCATTAGACATCCTACAATATACAGCAGCATTTAAACCACATTTTATTTTATTTTATTTTTTTATCCTCATCCGAGGATACTTTTTTGCATTTATCTGCAGATAGAGCAAGAGGGAGAAAGAAAGAGAGAAAAACATCGATGTGAGACAGACACATCGACTGGCTGCCACCCACACGACCCCAACCAGGGCTGAGGATAAACTGCAACTGAGGTACATGCCCTTAGCGGGAACTGAACCTGGGTCTCTCTGGACCACAGGCTGAAGCTCTAACTGCTGAGCCAAACTAGCCAGAGCTATTTTATTTTTTTTATCCTCACCCGAAAACCTTTTTGCATTTATTTTCAGATAGAGAGGGATGGAGAGAGGGAGGAAGAGAGAGAGGGAGAAACGTGGATGTGAGATAGACACATTGGTTGCCACCCACACGACCCCAAGGGCTGGGGACCAAGGTAAGTGTCCTTAGCACAGTAGTTCTCAACCTGCCTAATGCCGCAACCCTTTAATACAGTTCCTCATGTTGTGGTTACCTCCAACCATAACATTATTTTCATTGCTACTTTATAACTGTAATTTTGCTACTGATATGTCTGAGGCGACCCCCGTGAAAGGGTTGTGCAACCCCCAAAGGGATCATGACCCACAGGTTGAGAACCTCAGCTAGCGGGAACTGAACCTGCAACTCTCTGCTCCACGGGCCAACGCTCTAACTGCTGAGCCAAACCAGCCAGGGCTCTAAACCACATTTTAAAATACCCTTTTAAACACCATTATACTTTAAAATTTTTTTATGTTGTTGATATTAATATTGTTAAAAATTTTAAATATTAAGAGCTTTAAGGTATAAGACGTACACAGAAATAATATAACAAAAAATATACTGCAAAACTGTGTACTATAAAACTATAAATTTATGGATTGTACTCATACCTGGTTTTCTCTTGCCATTGTAGCCAGATCATCTTGTAATCTTCTATTTTCCTTAAAAGATATTTCTTTAGATCTTCCTACTTCATCCAGTTCTTTGTTAGTTGCATCAAGCTGGCGCCGGAGGCTGCTTATTTCGCGGTCCCGATTAGTCAGTGTTTCCTTTAGCTGGCTGTTTGTTACATGAGTGATGTGAAAATAAAAAAGAACTTTTTGGAAAACTTATTTAAAGAAAAAACTGTAGTATTCTGAAATAAGTATACTAAGAATACAAGAAATTATAACTACTGCCCTGGCCGGTTGGGCTCAGTGGCTGGAACATCGGCCTGCGGACCAGAGAGACCCAGGTTCAATTTCCGTAAGGGCACGTGCCTCGGTTGCAGTTTGTCCCTGGTCCCGGTTGGGGTCGTGTGGGTGGCAGCCAGTCAATGTGTCTCTCTCACATCAATGTTTCTCCCTCTCTCTTCCTCCCTTACTCCCTCCCACTCTATCTGAAGATAAATGCAAAAATGTTCTCGGGTAAGGATAAAAAAAAAAAAGAAATTATAACTACTGCATTAAGACACTGAGTAATTAGGTAAAGAAGACATTTTATCTCTGTATCAATCATTCTGAGCAAATGAAGTCATAAAATAAATTCTTATTTAAGAATCAAGTAAAAACAGAAGACTTTCAAGTGTTAGGAGATTCAATTGGCAAATAATAAAATAATAACAGATTCTATTGGTAAACATCTAATGTTTAAATCCCTGCTGTTATATAATATAAAAGGGTATACAGAATAAATGATTAGTGACTTTTGTCTTGAAGTAGAGACTAGACATAAAATGTAAAATTCTGTTCAATATAAGTTTAGATGTAGAATAAATTCAAGACTAGCTACTACTAAAGTAATCTGAATTTTAATAATTAGGGCCTGCCTAGGGTAAGTTACAGTAGAAACAGAGCAAGTCGGTATGTAAAAGAATAATAAGGCATAGTGTTTAGATGTGGATGACAGAAGATGGCAGAAAGTTAAAGAGAATAACATTTTCATGTAGGAGACTCAGAAAGTAATGCTGCCATTGGCAAAAATTTAAAAAATGGAAATTTAACTACTGACCAATGCTACTTAAATAAAGCTGCATTCACTGAAAATTTCTAAAAAAAGCTGGATGCCATTATATTGATGACTTACTTCAGAGAAGATTCAAACTCTGAGAACGTTATCTTCATCTGAGCAATAGCTTTTTCCTACAGAAATTATAAAAATATATGATTTGAAACAATTCATATAAGAATGTCTTTAGTTAAATTTACATAATTTATAAAATTTCCTCAGTTGAAATCTAATTATATAACTTATGCTACAAAGGAAAGCTCTGAGTAAACATACTTCCATGTCCCACTGTACTTCACATACTGGCATGTTTCTCCTCACTCTAAGAACTTAAATTGTTTCCTTGAATTTGCTGTTATCACATCTGGTAAAATTACATTCTAGAAATATAACTTTTAAAGATTCAAATGATTGAGATAGAATGAAACGTAAACATATGAGAAAATAGGGCCTGGGTCTTAACTTGTACATGGATAGTAAGAACTGCATACTTGAAACCGATAATTAAATAATCTTTTCTGTTTAGATGCTGGATAACAATATTTAACAGTCACATACTTTATTAGCAAGATTTTCTTGCAAGTTTGCAATCTGTTCTGTCTTATCATCTACAGTCTCCTGAAGAAAGTCTTTTTCTTTATCAATAACACCAATGGTCTTTTTCATTACATGAGCCTCTTGATCCTGTGAAGTCATCTTAAGGTGTAATCTACCTATGAATAGAAATGTTTGTTAGCCAAAGTATATTAGAATTAGCAAAAACAAAATTTAAAAACACTTACTTATATTTTCCTCCAGTATTTTAATTTGTGCTTGGGCTGATTCAAGTTCACCTCTTTTTATGGAAAGTCGGTGTTGATAATCATCAAGTGACCGCTGTAGCTGCTCATTTACTATCCTAAAGAATCAGTAGACAAAAACAAATGGTATTCTTTATCTCTGGTAGAAATAATTTTTAAAAAGTGAGAGATCTCAGAAAATATTTTTCTTATTTTTTTAAAGTTTCTTTTATTTATTTTAAAGCTCTTCAGTATAATCAATGGCATTATATTATATATTATTTCTTGACATCCAACAATCTTCTTCAAAATGGCTCATCTTCCTAAAAATAATATAGTATAAAAATCAAATTAATTGTGTTCTATTTTCTAGAGGCTTCCTGGTAGTTTTAAAGCTCTTCTCAGTTTCCCACTATTACCCTCTTGCTCTTAAAATCTATTTCCAATAGTGGAGGCAAAAACAAAGTCCTGGTTTTTTATAGTATGGCCTAGCATGTCAAAGGATTATCCATAAATCCTGGCCATCCAGACCGGTGAGCTTTCAACATTGCTTCTTTTTCTGACTGTTTTTGGCGGGTAATCAACTGGAGGTCATAGTAAACTGGGAAAGTAGGCATTTACTGTAGTGCAACCAGGATTTAAGACTAAAGATTGGCTTCAGGGAGCAAAAGAAAGGACATGCAGAGAAAACAGACAATTTCAGAGGAGTCTCTTATTGATCAGTAAGATTTTTTTTCAGAAGTAACGAGAATTTGTTCTCATGAAATCTAGAGACTTTGGAATGCTTTTAGCCCTGACCTAGGAGTTCTTAACCCTGACTTGCTAGAAAGACAAAGCTCTCATTTAAGGCTATTTACTGGGAACTCCCACAGGTTCCTTTTAGGGTTTGTCTGAGGATAAGACAGGGAAGATACCAAGAGTGGCTTAACTTAGAGCTGCTTAATAGGGAGGAGGTTTGGATTCTGAAACCACCACAGCTCCTTGAAAATGAAGTTTTACTGGCAACACTAAGGTGTTCTGAAAGAGGAAGGATCACAGTGATTGCTCAAGTAGCAAGTGACTGATGACCCAAAGGTAGGGAGGAAAGTCAAGTTGAGGATGATGTCTTTAGAACTGTACAACCAAACACAATCCAGTTGGAAAGAGTCTATGGTCATGAAATTTTATTTCATAAAATTATCTGTGAGTCCAGGTGATTGGACTATTGCACTATTACTCAAGCTGTTCTTAAAAGCTATAGCTTGTGCCGCCTGCTGAAGCCTATGCTTCTGTGCGGTGCTCTTGCCACGCCTGGCGTGGCCAGCACAATGTGTGCATCCCACGACAATTGGCACTGTGCTCGGTCCATGCACGAATTCTCAGCCAAGGACATCGATGGGCACATGGTTAACCTAGACAAGTACCGGGGCTTCGTGTGCATCGTCACCAACGTGGCCTCGCAATGAGGCAAAACAGATGTAAACTACACTCAGCTCATCAACCTGCACGCCCGATATGCTGAGTGCAGTTTATGGATTCTGGCTTTCACTTGCAACCAGTTTGGGAGGCAGGAGCCAGGTGCTAATGCCGAGATCAAAGAGTTCGTCGCTGGCTATAACGTCAAATTCGATATGTTTAGCAAGATCTGTGTGAACGGAGATGATGCCCATCCTCTGTGGAAGAGGATGAAAGTCCAGCCCAAAGGGAGGGGAATCCTCAGAAATGCCATCAAATGGAACTTCACCAAGTTCCTCATTGACAAGAATGGTTGCATGGCGAAGTGGTATGGTCCCATGGAAGAGCCCCTGATCATAGAGCCTGCTACCTCTAGCTCCACAAGTGTGCACCCCCATCCCAGCCCACCACCCATGCCCCTCAGGGCCTTCCATCCAGCACCTATGACAGTCTGTCTAAAAACCAGCCCACTTGTGGACAGACCCGAGAACCTGGCATGCACCCCTGCTAGAGGAAGGCCCCTTGGCCAGGCCTGGCTTGAAGCTCGGCACCCCCATCCTGGCTGCCTTGTAGGAAATAAAACATACAAATTGGGGGGGGGGGTACTATAGCTATTACTCTGAGGGATATAACCACAGGACATATTCATTGTATTGATACTTTATATGTAATAGCTCATTTATTCCTAGAGCAATTCCACAATTAGAACTATATCCAATTTTATAGAAACAAACAACCAATAGCTTGTCCAAGGTGACAAAGCAAAGAAAACGTGTAAATCTAGGCTGGTCTAATTTGATATCAATGTTTTTCTACTACATCACATTGCCTTCTATTAAGAATACAGGGAGACCAACATCCCCTGTGTGGAAGGGAAAATGTCTGCCAGTAAGCTATACAAAGTCTTTTCAAAAACAGAGTGGCCCACAGAGTCCCAAGTAGTTGGCGGTGCTTAAAATCCTAAGTAGAAATGTAAAGATCTCTTTACATCTTAGTTTATTAGCAGTTAATTCCTAATGAAAGTCAGGTTGATAAAGTAACATCTTTATATAAAAAGTAACATCTTGCCCTGGCCGGTTTGGCTCAGCGGTTAGAGCGTCGGCCTGCCGTCCTGAGAGACCCAGGTTCAGTTCCCGCTAAGGGCATGTGCCTCGGTTGCAGTTTGTCCCCGGCCCTGGTTGGGTCGTGTGGGTGGCAACCACTCGACGTGTCCCTTTCACATCGATGTTTCTCTCTCTCTCTCTCTCTCTCCCTCCCACACTCCATCTGAACAAAAAATAGAAAAAATGTCCTCGGGTGAGGATAAAAAAAAAAAGTAACATCTTACATATAAAGGAGGTCCTTGGTGAGTCCTAAACATAGCTTTGTCTTTTCATGTTCTAGTGTATACAGGGAAGGAGGGACAACAGGGATTCTATATCAGACCTTAGATATAACTTTTCTGACAGAATATTGCTGCTAAGATATGGGTCTTCTTAATAAAAGAACTGAAGTACGGTATAAAGTTCATTGTGAAAAATAGCTGAGTGACTCTCATATTATTTGTTCATCATGGTGTGTGGAAAGGAAATTTTGAGAGCCTTTTGAGAACTAAGTTATTAGGAAAACTGAACCAATTACTTAGCTTTGAAAGTGCTATAAACATAGCAAAGGAAAGTGATGACTTCCCACCAGAAAGTCAATAAAACTTCACTTAGAATCAAAGTTCTAGCTCTCTACTACCCATATGACTGAGACTCAAATTCCTCAGTTATATTACATTACATTACATAGAGATATATTATATTACATTACATGGAGGTATGCAAGATTTCATTTTAGGGGGCAAAGTGATTACTATCCTTCATAATGGACAGCATCTTAAAGGGTCCTTTATTCATAAAAAGTGTTCAAGTTCTAAAATGGAGCTGAAGCTCCATCTAAGAGGGGTAGGCTGGAATTCTAATGGCCTATTAGAGGAAACAAACTGATATGGTATCCCTATTTTATTTTAGATGTCTCTAAGAGTCTATGGTTATGGCCTACCACTAACTGAGAAAGGCTACTATTAAGTAACATCTTTTGGTGAGGCAGAGAGGAAAAGAATCAGGACTGCTTTTCTTTCACCTCTCAGCAATGGGATGATGATTTGTATCTGGTGGTTATGGTTCCCTTGGCCCTTTCCCATCCAGCTCTATGAGCTCAGCATTGTCATTTAGGGCCCTGGCTCCTCTTTCTGTCTTGTAGAAAAATGTTAGACATATGTGCTCAGGGGACAGTTTTTAGGCATCCTAAGGAGTCTATGAGCCTTCTTCTTATCTACAATGGTTTTATTCTCTTAACAAATAAATACTTTTCAAGTGAGAACAGTTATATTTGGTTTGCTGAATATACCTAAATTCTACTGTGATAACTGATACCTATTGCCTCGTATTAACTCCAACTACAGTTTATGCGCCCTGAAGGGAAATCTGCTAACACATTTATTTGATCCTGGATTAAGTATATAACCCTATAGTTTTCAAGAATGTTCACAGATAACTAAAGACTAAAGTGACCTGAAAACCATTTCAGCTGCAGGAATCTAAATGTTTAAAGCCTCGTAGCTAGCAATTGTGAGGATTAAGGCTGTTTACTACGGAATTGATTGAGAAAGGTTAGTTGTCTAACTGGGTTGGAAATTATTTATTCTCAAGCAGGTGCTGGCAAACTATGGCCTGCTACCAATTTTTGTAAAACCTAAGAGCCAGAAATGGTTTTTACATGTTTAAATGACTGAAAAATATCTCAATAGAAGATTAATATTTTATGACATAAAATTCTATGAAGTTCAAATTTCAGTGTCCATAAAATTGTACTGAACCACAATCATACTCCTTTGTTTATATATTGTCTATAGCTGTTTTTGCACTACAAAGGCAGGATTGAGTACATGTAACAGAGACTACTTGGCCGTACAGTCTAAAATACTTTGTCCTTTTACAAAAAAATCTTACTGACCCCAACTCCAGAGGATGACCAGCATCCTCTGAGGGGCTAAGACCATCTTTCCTGGATAGAGCGAAGTTGCTTTATAGAATTTTTGCTATAAAGTTTTGAATTGGGGCATAAAATGCTAGTTCTCATTAAATGCTAAATATCAAAGGAGACAACAGTCATTTGGTTATAAAGTGGGATTTTGTATTATGTCCTCTGGTGCTGCACCAAAAGACCAGACAAAAGATCCTCTATTTAGACAATTACAAACTATGCTTGATATATTCTATTTGGTGAAAAGAAAGTCTTTCTTGAAAAGAAAAGACTGTTTGGTGGCACTGAAATTTGGAGAGAAATGCCTGACTCAGGAAGGGAAAGAGAAGATGGTCCACCATGTGGATGGAAAGAAACATATTTGAGCATCAGCTTCTTAAACGTCTTCATGTCAAGGGAAAGAGAACTTGATGTGATTAAAGGGGTAGCAAGATCTCTATTAACCATATAAAATATGGTTTTGTCTCCATAGAGTGCCTGGTATTATGGTTTGCATTGAGTTTAGCTTTGGATTTGGACCTGTTGACTTGAACTCACGGTTCTATCAATGTATACTGATAATGGAGAAAGTGATTGACATATTTTCCTCAGAAGTAAGATAAGTCAGATTTTTCTGTCACAGCAAAACAAAGTTATGGAATCACCCCTAGGTGAGAGAAGCAGCAGACTGAGCTCACAAGAGAAAAGGTACTAGTACAACAAAGAAAACACGACAGGAGCTGTACGCTAGGGTGCCCAAGGCGGGCACTGAAAGCCCAGCCTTACGTTCTTAGGACTGTGAAGAGAGGAAGGGAGAGAGAGAGAGAGAGAGAGAAACATCAACGTGAAGGGACACATCGAGTGGCTGCCACCCACACGACCAACCAGGGCCCGGACAAACTGCAACCGAAGCACATGCCCTTAGCGGGAACCGAACCCGGTTCTCTCCGGACCGCAGGCCGACGCTCTAACCGCTGAGCCAAACTGGCCAGGGCCCGTCAGTCTTCTTAAGACTCCAAATCCATCTTTCCTATTTCTGCCAGAATGACTTTTTAAAAGGCATGCTACTCATGTCACCCCCGGGTTAAAGTTTTCTGTTCATTCTCTATGTTTATAAGGTAAAATCCAGACACTCTTGGTTATCATATCAACTTTATAACCTGATTCCAACCTGTAGATACAGCCTATGTTTTCGTATTGACCTTCTTACCATTTTTCAGACACACCTCCATTTTAGACTCTGTACATACATACTCTGATTTTACATTTCTTTGTGAGAGGAAAGATAAGGACAATGATGAAAGTAGCAAAAAATTCTGTAATTTTCAGCAATCCTGTGCTATGGAGTACAAATGATTTGAAGTATATGTTAGGGGGATTTCTGAAAGAGGTAGGCACAAAAACTTGCCTGCAATCATATCAATCTAAGAAAGTCTTTAAAAATATAGATACTCAAAACCTACCCAGATTCACTCAGTGAATAAGAACTTCCAGCAATCAGCCCCTAAATCCATACTTTTCAAACGCTCCCCAGGTGATTCTGCTGCAAGGCAAACTTTGGGTACTACTGCTTAAAGGCCAAGTCCAAAAATGCCACTATAATGAACCTCACTTAGCCATAAACTTGTTCCCAGAGGTGAAATAACAAAACATTCAATAAACTTACCTAAGTGAGTTCATCTCTGTTTTCTGAAGAGATGTGTCACCAACCACATGGCTAAGTTTTTGAGCTTGGAGTTTTGCTTTGTTCTCTAATGACTCCATTGATTCTTTCATTATTACTATTTTAGACTTTAATTCACAGTTTTCATTTTCAAGCTATAATTTAAATTTTAAAAATTAATATGTATATGTCTTAGTTTTGTTTTCTTAAGCATATTTTAATAACATTTCTGGAATAAAACTAAGGAAATAAATTAATTTAAAAGTCCTTTATAAGTCATGTGTACTCTTTAGGTTCTACATGTTAGAATAGGCATACACATTTTTCTCTCCTTTTCAATATTCTTGAAAGGAAAGAAAAGATAGCAAAAAAGGGGGGGGGGGCAAGAAAGGAAGAAAAGAAAATATATCCATACAATAAACATAGGAAGAGAAATAATTAGAACAAAATTTTAAGAAATTTCTGGGGGAAAAACACACAACAATAAGTAACTAGGCCTGATTTTAAGAAAAATCACAGCAGAAATACTGTAACCCAAATACAAATGTGTAAGACATATGAAAAAAACTGTAAAAATTCCCTGAAGGGCATAAAACATAACCTGACTTACTGTAAAGACACACCATGTTTCTAAAGGGGAACATGATATTGGAAATGTAATAACATTTCTTGAAATAACTGTAAATCCAATGAAATTTCAACAAGAATCGTAATAGAAATTCTAAAATTCATTTAGAAAAAAGGAAATTTAAAAAAACAACTGTTTCTCATGGTGCCTTGAAGGCAGTCGACTACATTAGGATGAAGCTGAACATCTCTTTCCCAGCCACTGGCTGCCAGAAACTCACTGAAGTGGACAATGAACACAAACTTCGCACCTTTTGTGAGAAGTGTATGGCCACGGAAGTTGCTGCTACTGCTCTGGGTGAGAATGGAAGGGGTATGTGGTTCCAATCAGTGGTGGGAACAACAAAGTTTCCCCATGAACCAGGGTGTCTTGACCCAGGGTGTCCCCTTACTGAGTAAGGGGAATTCCTGTTATAGACCACGGAGGACTATAGAAAAAAAGGACAAATCTGTTTGGGGTTGCATTATGGATGCCAATCTCAGTATTCTCAACTTGGTCATTGTTAAAAAAAGGAGAGAAAGACATTCCTGGTCTCATTGATACTACTGTGCCCTGTTGCCTGGGGTCCAAAAGACCTAGCAGAATCAACAAACTTTCCAATCTCTCTAAGATGATGCCCACCAATATGTTGTAAGACAGCCCCTAAACAAAGAAGAAAAGAAACCTGGGACCAAAGCACCCAAGATTCAGTGTCTTGTTACTTCACATGTCCTGCAACACAAACGTCAGGGTATTGCTCTGAAGACACAGCACACTAAGAAAAATAAGAGGCCACAGAATATACTAAACTTTAGGCTAAGAGAATGAAGGAGTCCAAAGAAAAACGCCAGAACAGATTGCCAAGAGATGTAGGCTGTCTTCTCTGAGAATTCCTACCTCTAAGTCTGAGTCCAGTTCACAATGAGATTTTCTACGAGGAACAGATAAATAAGACCAGACATTAAAAAAAAACAAAACCCAAAAAACGGAAACATTTGGGGTGGGGGAAGAATGTAAGCAGGCTTGCCTTATGTGATGTTAATTTAAATTAGAAAGCTACTGTAATTTAAACAAAGTGGACTTGGACCTGGCTGGCTTGACTCAGCAGCAGTTAGAGTGTTGGTCTGTGGATCAAAGAGTTTTAGGTTCAATTTCGGTCAAGGTCATGTACCTCGGTTGCAGTTCAGTCCCTGGCCCTGGTCAGAAACCAATTGATGTGTCTCTCTCACATAGATGTTTTCCTCTCTCTCTCTCTCTCTCTCTCTCTCGCTCTCGCTCTCCCGCCTCTTCCCTCCCTCCCTCCCACTCTATCTGAAGATAAATGGAAAAATATCCCTAGGTGAAAATCAAAAAAACAACAACAGTGTGGATTTCACATAGAAATTGACAAGCAAATACATGTACATATATGTAAATTTAGAAAAGGTAGCATTTTAGGGCAGTGGGAAAGAATAAACACTTTAAATATAAAATAGAGTAATAATTGTATATATAAAATTCAAAACCAAGAAATATTAGTAATAAACATGTCTTCCAGTTAAAACTATAAACAGACCACATACATTTTATCTCCTCTTTCTCTGGAAACAGTGCTAAAATGACAGTAAAGGAATAAGAAAGGTATATATGCTCATAAGGACACAGAGTAGATGTGACTTCAACAACTTGTGGAAGAGAAAGAGTAGACTGAATAATGACTCAGAATGGAAGAAAGATACAATCCAAAGCAGTTTCTGAACCTAGGGACTACTGACATCTGGGGCCAGATGATTCTTTGTTGGGGGGTGGGGACTGTCTTGAGTATTGCAGGATGTTTAGTAGCATCCTTGGCCAATATCTCTAGATATGAGAAGCATCTTCTCTCTCTTAGGAGGCAGAGTTGACTCTCACTGAACACCACTGCTCTAAAGGGACCACAACAGGAAATACCAATGCGCAGCCAGATGATATGTCCTGAAGAAGCTCAGCTTGTGGCAGCACCAGGTGGTAGGCTGGGGTCAGGAGCAGAATTAAACAGGAAATTGGCAACAAGTCCATATACTGGGACTCTCACACCCCTGGTTATCTCCCACCTCTTTCTAAAAGTTCTCTTGGATATCAAAAATGTAATTTTATATATATATATATTTAAATCAATAGAAGGGTTAGAAGATAAAGTTGAGGAAATCTCCCAGACAATAGAATTTTAAAAATCAGAGAGAAAACCAGGAAGAAAATATAAGAACCCCAGCTCTCCTTAGGAAGTATAACCCTAGCTAATAAAAGTTCCAGAGAGAGAGAATATAGAAAAGTATAGTAAATTATCCAAGAAATTGAAAGCAAGATATAAAGAGAAAATCCTAAAATTGTCTGAAATAAAAGGTATCATGTACAAACAACTAAGAAAAAAAGAGTATCAGAGAAAGTTAAAAGACAGTGAGGACAGTATTCAAAATTTTTAATGAAAATAATGTTTCAATCTAAAATTCCAGATACTTAAGCTATATCATAAATCAAAGTTTTAAAGTATGACAGTTGAATAAAGACATTTTCAGACACTTAGAGTACCCCCCCCCCAAATTCCATCCTATGTATTCTTTTTCAGGAAACCCTAGAGAAGATGCTATACTAGAATAAAGGAAAACAGCAAAAATTAAGAAAAAATTTGCTTCATCACAGGAGGGGGAAGCAGGGAAATATTTCTGAGGACAGCTATGGAGAGATATAGTCCAGAGTGGAAAGAAGATGGCAAAATGGAGATCTTCAGGGGGAAAAACAGAACCAACACATTTGAATATTTTAAAATATTGAAAGGCATGTGGCAGAGATGTTGACGTTCTTGACAAAAATTAACAGTGGGTTCAATGGAGAACAGAAAAGTAACAACAAAATGAAATGAAACATAACAAAACAGAGGCAATTATTAATTCCAGGAAAAAGATCTACAAGAAAAAAGGCAACAATAGTACTGTCCCACTTGGCTGATTGGTGAACCACTAGAGGTCATGATAATATAAACAATAACTACTAAAGTATGAAAAATAGTTAATAAAACTATGTTGAGGTAGTGGGAAGAAAAAGGGAAGAGTGCAAAGCCATTATCTATCATCATGGAAATTCACTAAATAATCTTAAATCAGTAAAGTAAAACTAAGCAGCACAAGCCCATTATTTAGAAACAAGGAGATAAACACCAGGAGAAAGTTAGAGTTGTGGGTAGTTTTTGGGATAGGGAGGTGGGAAAGGAACATTATTTTGTTTTTGTCATGAAAAACCTTTCAGAATTCCTTGCATATATCTTATACAAACAAGAGAGTACACACGTGCAGTATAAAAAATTGAAAAATGAATATTTGTGTATCTATCACCTGACTTAAAAAATATTATGTGAACCTTTGAAACTATTTGTGAGCCATATCCAATCACATCCCAATCCCTGCTCCCAGTAACCACAAACTACTCTGAGTCTGGTGATTCCCATTTCTTAGTGTACCACACCATATGAATTCCTAAACAATATAGTTTAGGTTTGCATGTTTTTAAACACTACATATGTGGAATCACACTGCATGTTTTCTTTGACATTACAGCTGTAAGATTAATGCATGTTGATGCTTGTAGCTCTTGTTCATTCATTTTCGCAGCTCTATAACAATCCATCGTCTGAATGACCAACATTCGTCTATTTTCCTTGTAACTGACATCTATATTGTTTTTTGTTTTCTGCCAGAGTAAATATTTTAGGCTTTGTGAGCCCTATGGTCTATTGCTACTAATCCATTAAAACAGCTACAGATCCACACTTCTATGCTTGTTTCTTGTTTTTTATTTTTATCATTTAAAAAATTTTTCCCCTTTATTTATTTTTTATCCTCTCCTGAGGACATTTTTGCATTTATCCTCAGATAGAGTGGGAAGGAGAGAGGGAGGAAGAGGGAGAGAAACATCGATGTGAGAGAGACTCATTGACTGGCTGCCACCCACACAACCCCATGGGACAGGGGACAAACTGCAACCAAGGTATGTGCCCCTAGCGGAAACCAAATCTGGGACTCTCTGGTCTGCAGGTCGACACTCTAACCTCTGAGCCAAATAGGCCAGTGCTCCTTTATTGATTTGAGAGAGAGAGGAAGGGAGAGGAAGAGATAGAAACATCGATGAGAGAGAACATTGAATGGCTGCCTCCTGCATGCCCCTCACTGGGGATCGCCCACATTCCTGACCAGGAATCAAACCGGAGACCTCTTGGTATATGGGTTGACGTTCAACCACTGAATCACATTGGCCGGACATATTTCCTGCTTTTTAGAATGGGGATGGTAACAGTAATTATCTCACAAGGTTACTGTAAGGGTTATGCCTGTCCAGAGCATTGCAGAATGTCTGGCAAATAGTTACTGTCCAATGAATGTTAGTTACTACATACAACTCTTCCCTTAGACACTCGTCTCCACAATCCTTTTTCTGTGATTACCAAATACCAAAAAACTCTGAAAACCCTAAATTTGGTGGTGCAACCTGACCTGAACTGATAAAAGCTGATCTGAGCTTTCTTGACCCTTTTGGAAAAAAATTAGTTATGTTTTGCTGCAGAAATATTAATATATTTACCTTTCTAAAATCCAAAATATTCTAAATTCCAAGCCACTCTGGCCCCAGGGGTTTTGAATAAGCAATTGTGGGCCTATTTTAATGTGATGCCAACACATGCAGAGAAAAATAAACAAACAAAAAAATACTACTAGCTATAGGTAGTGTGTAAAACAATGTGCATGGTTGCGTTCCAACAAAAACTTTATTACAAAAACAGATAGGAGGTCAGATTTGGTCCAAGGGCCATAGTTTGCTGACCTCCATCCAGGGCACACATCTAGAAATGAAACTGCTGGTTCAAAGGATATACCTTTGCTAGACAATACCCAATTATTCTCCAAAGGGGTACCCGCTTGCACTTCCAGAAGCTACACACACCCGCTAATAGTACTGGTTATAACTTGTTAATTTCTAATGAATGTGAAATAATTTACCGTGGTTTTACTTTTCCCTACTATTAAGGTAGAACATCTTTTTATGTTTATTAACCATCTATAATTTCTTCTGTCAAGAGGTGTCAATTCATATCTTCTGTCGAGTTTTTTAAGCTAAATGTACAGCAAGTTGTTCTCTCAATTAGTGGCTTATCTTTTCAATTCATGGCTATTTGATAAACAAAGATGTCCTTGTAAGTGTGGGCCCATTTATTTATGTTTTCATTAAACTTATTTATGTCTTTCTTAGGAGCACCACACTTTGGCACCAGACACCTGTTAGCTGTGTGATCTTAGACAAATTTCCCTCTGCCTCACTTTCCTTATCTACAGAATGAGGGTAATATAAGCATTTACTTCATATGGTTGTTGTGAGAATTAAAATAATATTTGTAAATACTGAAAAAGCACATGACATACAGTAAATGCTTTATAAGTGATTATTATTATTGTTATTATTTCTTTAAGGTAAAAAAGATTTTCTTCTATATCTTTTTAAAAAAATAATAGCTATAATAATAGCTATCTTGAACATTCAAGGATCCAAGTAACCTTGAACTGACTTGGGAGTATGGTAAATTTGAGTTAGGATCCAACTAGTATTTTTTTTAAGTCTTCACCTGAGACTATTTTTTCCATTTATCTTCAGACAGTGGGAGGGAGGGAGGGAAAGAAAGAAACATGGACATAAGAGAAACATATCAATTGGTTGCTTCCCATGTGACCCGGCCAGGGACCAAACTGCAACCAAGGTACATGCCCTTGACCGAAACTGAACCGGTGACCCTTCAGTCCACAGGCTGATGCGCTAACTACCGAGCCAAACCGGCCAGGACCAATTACTTTTTATATGCATATACACTATATGAATAAACAATTATCCCAGAAACAATTACTGAATAATCCATCCTTTCTCCATTTATATATAAAGGACTCTGTTATCAAGTTTCCATACATTTGTTGGTTTGTGAGTTCACTCTCTGAGAGTTTTATCCTTCTCTTTGAATCCCTGTATACTACCACCCTCTCTTATTTACTGGCTCTAAAGCCTTCCTATCAAACAGGACAATTTCCCTATCATGTTCTTCTTCTTTAAAATCTCTTTGTAATTCTTGGCTCTTTGCTTCCATGTATATTTTAAAATCTATTGTCAGTGTTCACACACACCACCTTCTTGGGATTTCAGATGGAACTACATTACCTTCATAGATCAATTTGGGGAGAATTTAGATTCTTTTTTCAAACATGATTATCTCTCATCTTTTGCATAAACCTGATATATTGCTCCACTTATTTAGATCTTCTTTAATGTCTTTCAATAAGGTTGCATAATGTTTTCTATAAAGATCCTAAAAATTTATACACAGGTATCTTACATTATTTACCATGCTACTGGAATTCTTTGCACATTCTAAATCCGAGGATTCCTATGTTTTTATGATACCTAGAAAATTACCAGTCATTATCTCTTCCAACTACTGCCTTTCCCACATTCTATTATATTCTCCTAGAATTCTGACTAAATACATGTTAGACCTTCTCGGTTTATTCTCTAAGACTTTATTTTATATTTTTCTTAGTCTCTTTCCAATAACTTATAGTACTTCAGATACATTTTCAAGTTCATTCATTCTCACTTTCAGCTTCTGGGGAAGCTGGAGTAACAGAAACCCTACCTGATAACTAAAATAATGGGTAAGATATATTAAAAACAATAGTTTTCAAGACCCTGAGCATCAGGCAACGATGGACAGTGACCCAGGAGACAAGAAACAAATAAGAAGCCCTATGATTGCTCCAACTTGATGCCTGAAGAATTTCCAGGCTGTGGCACAGGGAAAGGAACCCAGGTGGAGCCTAGTGGTTCCCCTAAGTTCAGAAGACAGGACTGAGAGTCAAGGGAGCACAAGGCAATTAGAGTTGGCAGAGAAGATACTGGAGAAGAGCTGCACAGAGTGAGAGCTCCAGAAGTCTGCAAAGGGTGGCCCTTGAGTCTTCAGCTGAGCAGAGCTCAGTACAGAGGATGCTACCCAAAGTCAGGGGAAGAACTATCAATGAATTACAGGGAACAATATTTAGGATCCATGTGGGGCCAGGAGTAGTTTATGTTCACATCAGTCATTTTAAAACACCATGATTCATGGGGCAACACGTAGTGTACTCAAAAGGGTTTTGTCTCAGTAGTGAAACAAAATTAGTTCAAGACTAAATGTTATTCTGGTCCTACCCAATGAAAGCTTAAATGCAAAAGTGAAAAGGATTAAGCTACCTCCATCTGACTTAACTGTATCACAGAACAAACCTCAAGAGTATTTATAGAAAATCAAGCTATCCAGTAAACAAAAAGGTAAAATTCACAATGGCTGACATCCAATCTAAAGTTATCAGGCATGCAAAGAAGCAGGAATTTACAACCCACGAGGAAGAGAAAAAAATCAGCTTACCCAAAGTCGATAGAAAGAATTAGTGGACAAATAAAAACAGTGACAAAATGAAACAGAGAGAAAAAGACTGTCAGAACTCATACCAATTTGTTAAAAATCCTATTTCTAGAGACAGCAATAAGGAATGAAAGTGAATTTTATTTATTTATTTATTTTTTAAATCCTCACCCGAGGACATTTTTTGATATTTTGTTCAGATAGAGTGGGAGGGAGAGAGAGAGAGAGAGAGAAACATCGACGTGAAAGGGACACATCGAGTGGCTGCCACCCGCACAACCCAACCAGGGCCGGGGACAAACTGCAACCGAGGTACATGCCCTTAGCGGGATCCGAACCCAGGTCTCTCGGGACCGCAGGCTGACACTCTAACTGCTGAGCCAAACCGGCCAGGGCTGAAAGTGAATTTTACTGTGTACTCTATGTCTGTATATAATTTTTTAACAAGAACAAAACAATAAGCATAAGTAACACCTATGGAATGCTTATAATACTCAGTGACTCTTCTAAGTTCTTAATATGTATTAACTCATTTAACCTCCACAAATTAAGTACTAGCATTATTCTTATTTTACAAATAAAAATATTGAGGGATAGAAAGTTTAAGTATTGCCTACAGAATGTAAACCCAAGTAGTACATACTCATTATTATACAGCTTCTCTAGCATACTATTTTGTAATATCAAAAATATACAGCATAGCCCTGGCTGGTGTGGCTCAATGGTTGAGTGTTGTCCCATGCACCGAGAGATCACCAGTTCGATTCCCAGGCACATACCCAGGTTGCAGGCTCCATCCCCAATAGGGGGTGTGCAAGAGGCAGCCAATTAATGTTATCATCTAACATCAATGTTTGTTTCTCTCTCTCTCAAATCAATAAAAACATATTTAAAAATATACATATACACAGTATATTAAAACTGTAATTGACATAGTCATTCATACAATACAATACACCACAAATCCAGTTTGATAAATTACCTGGTGATTAACATATGTTAAATGTTCAATAGTTTTCTCTAATCCTGATTTTCCAAAAAGACTCATTTCCTGGAAAGTCTGAAAGAGAATTTTATAAAAGATGTTCATTCACATCAGATAATACAACAAAATTACCAAAGTTTGCAATGCAATCTCCAGTACTATTCTACTTGGTTTTTTTAAATAACAGAATGTGTTAGAAAAAAATTATTAGACATTTTACAAAAACGATGCTTTGGTTGAAAAAAACACATTCACTCTACCTCCATGTGTGATTGTAACAGAAGACACAGATTGGTATGAATTCATTCATAAAGATTTATATATATAGATTCATTAGCACAACCATAAAGAGAAAAAAACAGCAGGTTAAGTAAGCTCAGGAGTACGTCCTCACAGAGGAGATGAGGAAGAGTGTAAAGAAAGAAAAGATGCGATCAGAAAGGCACTGGAAGCAATACTACAGAGCTGTGCAAGCCACCAGTGTTTCAAGAATAGGCTGGTCAACAGTGTGAACACAAGTGTTGGTTTTTTTTTTGGTTATATTATTTTATCCAACTCTTACTGATGCTAAGTATAGGACAAATAATATAAATTGGTGTTTCCTGAGAATTTTTCTAGTGCGGATTCATACTTCCATCCACATTATTCATTAAAAATAAAGACATTTGATGTTTGGATTATACATCTGGTTGAAAGAGTCACTGTGCATTTTTGTATGCATTTTTTCATTTACTGAATCTTCCAACCAGTACTGAATACATACTATATACAAGCACCAAACAAAGGTGTTAGAAATACAGTCGTGAGTACACAATGTATAAAGTCTCTGATATCATAAATACTATAGCCTAGTAGAAAAGACAAACCTTAAAAAGATATTAGAATAAAATCCATGCATATTTTGCAACAAAACGGAACTTAATGGCAATATATTAAAAAGAAATTTAGAGTCTAGGGTTCATTTCCCGTGTGAAATGATATTTAACCTGGCTCTCAAGGATGAATAGAAATTATCCAGGTAAGGAGATTAAAAGGGTAAAGGATTTTTCAATAGCCTATGTCGAAAGTTGGAGCAAGAAAAAGTCTATTTAGCCTGGAGTGGAGAAAATGAGGGGTGGGAAAAGAGGAAGATGAGTTTGGAGAAAAGCAGCTAGACCTTGAAGTAGGCAAAGGTCAATCACTGAAATCCTTGAAAACAGTTAATGGATTTTAAATGAGAAGTGACATGATTGGATTTTTATCTTTGAAAGATGACTCTGACTTCAGTTTGAAATACAGATTTGTGAGGCAGCTAATACCCTAACACAGTTGACAGAGAATGACCAGGACAGGATGGTAGCAGGAGAATGAAAAGAACTAGTCAGATTCAAGAGAAACCCATGCAACCTCAGGAGCCAGACTCCTTATGACTTCATAGATAGGTGATCTTGGGCAAATTATTTAAACTCATTATAACTCAGAGACCACATCTATAAGAATTACCTACCTGAAAAGGCAACTATCAAGATTCACTGAGAGAGTCCGTGTAAAAAGCACTTAGTGCAGAGCCTCCCACATGAAAAGGACTTAGTAAATGTTAAATATTATTTAAGAGGTAGCACTGGTAAGACTTGGTGACTGAGTGAGAGGATCTTTCAGGGAGGGAGGCGTCGGTGATGCTGCCTGGGTCGACAACTGGGTGGATAGTGACATAGGAACTATCAGAGGAGGCGTAAGGATTGAGATGACTAATTCAGTTTTTAAGTAAAAGATATGTTGTAAACTCATAAATCCTGGCTCTCTAATATCCAGAGATTCTGGTAATATGAATGAATGTTACTTTCCTGAGTTGTCAGTATTATTGTATTTTTTTTTTTTTTTAATCCTCACCCGAGGACATTTTTCCATATTTTGTTCAGATAGAGGGAGAGGGAGAGAGAGAGAGAGAAACATCGACGTGAAAGCGACACATCGAGTGGTTGCCACCCACACGACCCAACCAGGGCTGGGGACAAACTGCAACCGAGGTACGTGCCCTTAGCGGGAACAGAACCCGGGTCTCTCTGGACCGCAGGCCGACGCTCTAACCGCTGAGCCAAACCGGCCAGGGCATTATTGTATTTTTTTAACCCTATTTTTATATCCCTTGGTCACTTCAACAGATATGAAGAAGAATAAATCAGTAGCTTGTACTGAAAACTGTCCTATTTCCCTTGGGTAATTTTAACACTTATTTTTATAAGAAATTCCTTTGGGAAGGCAGTATTCCAAAAGATCCCAATTGAAAGTATTCTTTCAGGGTAAAATTTTAACTGAAATTTTATGACAAATACTACCTTTTGAAAACAGCCTGGTGATTGCTCAGATGGTTAAATGTAGTCATCAAATGAACCTCGGTATATACCAAAGATAAGTGAAAACATACATCCACACAAAAAGTACACAAATATTCATAGCACCATTATTCTTTATAGCCCCAAAGCAGAAACCATGCAAATGCTAAATAACATGTTGTTTATCTATACAATGGAATGAAAAAGAATAAAGTATTGATACATACTACAACATGAATGAATCTGAAAACATCATGCTAAATGAGAGAAACAAGACATAAAAACTGCACACTGAATGATTCAATTTATATGAAATGTGCAGAGTAGGCAAATCTATAGAGACAGAAAGATTAGTGCTTGGTTGCCTCAGACTGAGGCGGCTAGGGGAAAATGGAGAGCAGCTGATAATGGGTACAGGATTTCTTTTGAGATAATGAAAATGCTCTAAATTTGACTGAGCTGATGGCTGAACAAGTCTCTAGGTGAACTGTATGGTATGTGAATATGTAAATAAAACTGCTTTACAAAAAGAAGATAATGTCCCTCTACATAAGGGACTGACTACTGAAATCAGAGATTAATTATTTTCTATAAAGAACCAGATAATAAGTATTTTCAGCCTTATGAGCCATACAGTTTCTATTGTAATTACTAAACTCTGCCACTGCAGCAAAAAAGAAGCCACACAGAACACGAACATGAATGAGCATCGTATTCCAAAACATTTACCAAAATGAAACTTGAATTTCAAAAATGTCACGTGTCATAAAATATTCTTCTTCTGATAGCTTTTCAGTGACTTAAAAATGTGAACACCATCCTTAGCACAAAGGCCATACAAAAACCTCATGGTCTGGATTTGGCTTGTATGCCTTTGTTTGTCAACCTCTAATCTAGTTGTACATTCCAAATAGTTACTTCACAGAAAACAGACATCCCTTTTCCTCAATAACTTACCTTTCAAAAATAAGTGAGTTCTGGCCGGTTTGGCTTGGCGGTTAAAGCATCAGCCCGTGGACCAATGAGTCATGAGTTCGATTTGGTTAAGGGCACGTACCTCAGTTGTGGTTCAGTCCCCGGCCCTGGTCAGGGTTGTGTGGGAGGCAACCAATCGATGTGTCTCTCTCACATTGATGTTTCTCTTTCTCTCTCTCTCTTTCCCTCTCTATATGAAGACAAATGAAAAAATATCCTCAGGTGAGGATAAAAAAATAAATAAATAAGTCAATCTTATTACTTACTTTCAACTTGTCTCTTAAAGCTTCCTTTTCTGCCATAACCCTTCTTAAATCAGATATTGCAACTTCTTTTTCTTTCTCCATGAGACTAACAATATTATGGGAGACTGTGCTTTGGGTGGATTCTCGTCTTAGTGAAGATAATTCTTCCTGAGCCTTGAAGAAATAAAAGATATAAATGTAAAACACTTTAGATGTGCTCTCAGTTAAAAAAAAAAAAAAAGGGCAAATTAAGTATGTTACCTTTGTTCTCTTTCCAAATCCTCAAAAAATGAGAGTAAAATGATTAAATTAATAATAGTAATAATAATAATAATATGAAAAAGATAAGTAGATTGAGGAAAGTGCCAGTTACAAAATTTTGGAAACCAAATAGCAGGTGGACAACCAGTAATTGAGCAGACCCAAGAAAGCTGCAATCTAAGTCAACACTGAGGAAAGCCCAGAAATGGTTCTGTACTGCAGAGTCCCAAAAAAGTTCCAAATGTGAAAACAGCTTTTCAAATTGACCTTTTATCTTGCATGTCCTTCTCCCCCTCCTGAAGTAGTAGGAGGATTTCATGGGAGACTGATAAGGGCACACATTTATGTACAGATACCATGCCTAGCTCAGACTCACCTTCACCTCTGACAACTGAGGCTTTAAAACTGGTCCAAGCTGTATCAATTCCCTCCTTCCCTAGAGTTTCATCACTAGGGCCTTAGTCTTTGATATCCAGTAAGTCCCAGTCAGTAATGGTTGTTACCCATTGTCTGATAGACATATTCCAACATGTCTGAATCCTAAGGATTAACTTGGCTCAGAGGCAGTCTATGACCTGTTCAAGATAGTTTTAGAAGTAGTTTATCTCAAACTGACCTGACAAATAGGCTAGAAAAGAGGAAGAATAAATATGAAAAAATAGTAGAAACCTCTGCTTCGGGAGAGGTTAGGGAGATAATAGAAACTACTACTTATAATTCTCATTATGAAGGAATACCACAAGGTCTATATATATATATATATATATGTGTGTGTGTGTGTAGAGAGAGAGAGAGAGAGAGAAAGAGAGAGAATATACTGGTTCCTCTGTATAATCTGTTGGCTTAATTATAATCAATTTCTTACTTCATTATATAAAACACTTAGTTTATCTCTTTCTGCTGTCAATAATTTAACATTGGCCTGTATATCCTCCATATGTTTTTCAAATCTTGTCAGCATATGCTGAAGTTCATCTCTTTCTCTTGTGATTAGATGAATTTCTGAATTGTAGTCACCCTGAAACATAATTTAAAAACATAAGTTATCATTTGTTATAATTACCAGCACAAAGTTATCACAAGCAGGTGATGAGACTGACTGAGAGATACTAACAGACAAAAAAACCCACAAGTTCCTTTAATGTAATTAAGGAACACAATTTTTTTCTATTTAATGATTTTTATTATTTATTATTATCTTTATTGTTGAAAGTATTACAGATGTCCCTCCTTTTTCCCATTGGCACCCTTCTCTTTGCTCGACCCACCCCCTATCTCCACTGTGCCTTCACCACACTGTTGTCTGTGTCCATTGGTTATGCATATATGAATATAAGTTTTTTGGTTTATCTCTTCCCATCCCCCTGCCTTTCCCACTGGGGTGTGTCAGTCAAGGAACACAATTTTTAACCTATAATGAGAGCAGGAGGTGAGAGTGTTGGAAGTACAGGGGCAAATTTCCTGGCCTTCAAGTTCCCAGGAAGGGACTCAGTTGTCAATGATACTATTTGATCAGATGGTATTCAATGCTTCAGCTGTCCTTCTCCTGGAGTTATTTATACTTGTAGTAACGAAAGTGTAATCCCCAGACCAGAAGTGTCAGAAGCATTAGGAACTTTCTAGACATATAAGTTTTGGGGCCCAACCCAGACCTACTTAATCAGAAACTTTGGATATAAGGCCCAGTAACTGGTTTATCAAGCCCCATAGGCAATTCGGATACATGCTAATTGTGGGGAACTACTAGTTTACAACCATCTCCAGTGCAGGGACTGTGTGACTGCTCACCCAGTGCAAGGAGCTATAAAAGCCTAGCACATTCCTCAGTGTTTTCTGGGACAATCTAAGATTAATGTCTCAGACAAACCAATTTCCAACTGTCCCAGCTTTAAACCAATGTGAGGTCTATCTATGCAATCAGATAAATATAAATATTTCTACCAGGCAGTATACGTAAATTAAGCAACTACTTCCAACATTACTAAAACAAGAGTATACATATTATTCCAGTACAATTCAAAAGATCCACTATCTTTACAACAATTGTAGAAAATAAAGATGGTAAATGTAGACTTGGGATCCATGGTATCTCACTGTTAAAGTACTACATTCCGAAGCCCTAGGTAGGGATAATCTGATACAATGGAAAACATCCTGATCTATGTTATTCAATATCTACTGTGCACATACCATGTCCAATGTAGAGTTGGTAAATGGTAGACATCTGTGAGGTACCCCTCACCTGAAACTTGGAAATCAGTTATCCTATTGGTTAAATAAGCAAAATCAAGGCATAATGGATGATCTTAGCTATCTGGACACTTAAAGGATAAAATGTCTCACAGGAAAAAAGCAGATTAGAATTTGAGACTTAATCAAGGCTTAAATAACTATAAAAGAAAATCTGTAACCTAAATAAAAATATCTTACAGAAAGAAGGTGGTCTGCACAGATTTCAGAAAAGGAACACTCAATGGATAAGGCTTTTGACAGTATATTTTCACTATTGTCTATGTCTCAGCATAAATGTCACCTTTGCCATAGAGTCCTTCCAGATTCTCCAATCTAATTTATTTATTTTTTATCCTCACTGGAGGACATTTTTGCATTTATCTTCACATAGAGCGGGAGGGAGAGGGGGAGGGAGAGAGAGAGAGAAACATCAACATGAGACTTTGAGTGGTTGCCACCCACACAACCTCAACAGAGGCCAGGGACAAACTGCAACCAAGGTATGTGCCCTTAGCAGGAACCAAACCCAAGTGTCTTCGGTCCAAGGGGCGAAGCTCTAACTGTTGAGCCAAACTGGCCAGGGCTCTCCAATCTAATATATGCCTTAACCACTAAAATGTAAGCTCTATGAGGGACACAGTAGGTATCTGCTCTTATTCACATCTTCAGTGCCTAGCATGGTACTTGATAAAAATGTATGAATTTCCTAATTGAGCAGCAACTCTCTTTTCTAAATGTGGAGATATTTATATTTGTGTTAATATGTAACTGTTAATAACTCCCTTTTATCACTCCATTTTTCTCAACACACACACACGTGCACAATGCTCAAGGTTATGAGGATATGAACCATGTCTTCTTTACCTCGTATCTCTAGTGCCTCAGAATATATCCAATGAACCGCAGCTGACTTTCAACCTAGATCTGACTTGCTTTGAACCAGCAAATAAGGAAATGAAACATTTGCTAGAAACTAGATTTTATGCTAGACACATGCAAATTATCTCATATAATCTTCACAAATGGTTTTAGTTACATTCCTCACTATGTAAATGAGGAAACTGGAATTCCATGAAGTCAGGTAACTTGTTCAAGATAAGCCAGTTTGTAGAGTTAGAACTTTTATTAGGCCTCCAACTCCAAAGCACTTTTCACAACACTACACTCAAAACTCACAGCTGAAACCATGATGAAAGGGAACAGTGTCCCCCGTACACAGATAACAGAGAATAAATCATTTTATTGTTTACAAAGATCACTGATATTAAAAATGTCAATACTGTTTTATGAGTTATTGCAATCCCAAGAAAGTGAGCTTAAGATTCCCAATAAAGCAGGGGTTGAAAACTCACATTCTTTAGTTCCCAGCACTCACAATTGTCTTACACTCCACCCATTTCACTAGTGTACATACCAACTTCCCTATCATGCCTCCAATTTATTATTGCTCTGAACACCTCAACTTCCAAACTTTGGAAAGTGAATTCTTTATCTATGTCAAGTAACATTAGAACATTTCAAGAAAGTACATAAGTTGAAAGGGGAAAAAGTCTCTCTCCTGACTTTATCAGTACCTGAACAAAATCTCTCATCTGTCTTTCAGTTGTGAATCCACACCAAGCAACTGAATCAAATATTAGATTAAAAGCTTTGAGATTATTATCTACTCAGTTCTATTTAATAAATACTATTAAATAAATTAACCAATTTGTGAAAGAGTCTCCTACATAATGGTGATCAATTCAGTGGTTAATTTTTCATGAGTCTTAAGTATACATGGGGATTAAAAAAATAACAGTAACACAACTTAAACTGTATTTTCCCACCAATTCATTCTGCTTATAATAGATAACATAAAATAGTGTTTAAACTGACACCTGTAAATCAAATTCAGCCATTACCCAATGAGATTAAAAACCAAAGTCTTGGAAACCAACTCAAAATCATTTGACAATTGACTGGATCTTCAGGAAATGACAGAACTGGCCAGTTCAGCCAAGTTTGAAATCAAATGTTTTGAGGTTTAATAACTTTACTCCCAACTTCCCCTAATTTTATCTTGTGTCTAGTAATGTTAGGGTAATATAAACTTCCGAGACTCCTATATATCCAAAGCTTTAAAAAATGAGAAAAATCTGCCCTGGCCAGTTTGGCACAGCAGTTAGAGCATCAGCCCTCGGACAGGAGAGTCCTGAGTTTGGTTCCCGCTAAGGGCACGTACCTCAGTTGCAGTCTGTCCCTGGCCCCGGTTGAGGTTGTGTGGGTGGTAACCACTTGATGTGTCTCTCTCACATCGATGTTTCTCTCTCTCTCTTCCTCCCTCTCTCCTCCAGCTCTATCTGAAGATAAATGCAAAAATAAAAAAATAAAAAGTGTCCTTCTGTGAGGATAAAAAAAAAAGAAAAATCTAAAGAACTCAATGATACTCAGAAAACATTGAAAATAATTAAGACCTAACATAGAGACTCATGATTTAAGAGTCTCATGAATCATGATGAACTTTACCTGATATATATCTTTAGACTACTAGCTTGTAAATGGGTTGTAGTGGAAATGGGATGCTCTCTAGGCATCCACTTGCACTTACTACGTTCTCCTGTTGTGCAGTTAACATGGAAGATGCATAATCTGTACAGTGTGATCCACCTTTCTGACTAGTCCAAGGCTGGGAATGGCATGAAGCCATGTTGCCTGCCATGTGGAAAAAGCCACTCTGCTTCGAGAGAGAAAATACAGCTGGTATCAAAAGTAAAGGCTAGAAAGAGAAGAGATGTCCAGTGACATGAGTTCCTGGTCCCAGTTTCTGGAAGCCCAGATGCCCCTGCACTCCTCCCATATACCTAATGAGCTATTCAATCTTTCTTTAATTTCTAGCAATCAATATGTCACACTTTGCTCTTAAGTCGTTTTCCTAATTAATGCAATGTTCCTATTATATAGGTCATGGAAGAAAACAAAAATCAAAATTAAGAAAGACTTTTTAAAGCAAATATTAATAAAGTTACATGTTGCCCTGGCCGGTTTGGCTCAGCGGTTAGAGCGTTGGCCTGCGGTCTGGAGAGACCCGGGTTCGGTTCCCGCTAAGGGCGCGTACTTCGGTTGCAGTTTGTCCCCGGCCCTGGTCGGTCGTGTGGGTGGCAGCCACTCGATGTGTCCCTTTCACGTTGATGTTTCTCTCTCTCTCTCTCCCCCTCCCACTCTATCTGTACAAAAATTGCAAAAATGTCCTCGGGTGAGGATTAAAAAAAAAAAAAAAAAAAAAAAAAATAAAGTTACATGTTATACAGTAACAAACCAGAAAAGTTTGTTTAAAAAGATACTCATGCCTTATCAATTACTCTTATAAAGAGATATTACCTTTTCTAGCATTTTAGATGTTGGACTTTTTTCATGTACAGAATAATTTGCAGAGCAAGATCTTCTCTGTATTATATGCTGGAGTCTCTCTAGTTCTTTCTTATAAAAATCTCGTTCTTCTTCTATACCTTTCAGAAATGTATCTAAACGAGAAGGTGACTTGTCTCGACGTTTTATTCCATGCTCTAGCCTCATCCTCTCAACTTCCAAAGTAAGTTCTCTTTCTGAAAATGAAAGTAATTAATCTTACAAGTACTGCATTTAAAACATATAATTAGCCAAAATGAATTATATTAATTTTAGAATGCAAGCTACTAAAAATCATTAACATGTTTTGTATATAGCCTATTACTGCTAGATATCAAAGAGGTAAATATTAAGAGGAAAGGAGAAAAATTAACCTCTTCATTTATGTGTTACTAGTTTGTCTCTCTAAAACAAAGACTGTGTATTGTTTACTATTATATATCCCAGTACCCAAAACAGAGCCTGGTACACAGCAGGCTCATAAATATTTATCTAATGAATGAATAAATGAATTTATGAATTCTTATATGTTCCTTAAAAAAAAAAATCTCATTTAGGACTGGTGTCTGGCAGAAAGGTAGCCTATTTTCAATTGTATATGTGTGTGTCACTTTCAGGTGATACAACTGTATTTCCTTACAAAGATTTTGTTCTTCAATTTTTTACTTTCAGAAGAGTCTTCCCCTTAGTCTTAATTAATTCTATTATTGTTATGCCTCAAAGAAGAATGTACTTTTATGGAAACTATTCAAGTAGGGTTTCTGTATTAACTAGTCAAAATAAAAAGAATTCTGCAAGGTCCTCAAGAGAGAGATTTTACTACTGCATCTACAGTGCCTAGAATGGTTTCTGATATACTGTAAGCATTCTAAAAATACCTATTGAATGAATGAAAGATCATCTCCTAATAATAATACAGCAAGAGGAAATTACCATCACCTTTTAAGTTACCAACATTTTACCTGTAACTGCAAAACTTTCCATTTTTTTGCTAAGTCTTTGCTTTTCTTGTTCAAGCTGATGAACAACAGTTTCCAGGTCTGATCTTATAAGGAGTTCATCACTCAGCCTCTCTTTTTCTTTATGGCATAAGTTTAATTCCTGCAAATTTTAATACTATCGTTAAGATTTCAAACAACTTTATAAAATATTATAGCACTTAAAGTAGATTTTTAAAAATCCTTACCCGAGGATGTTTTTATTGACTTTTGGAGAGAGGGAAAAGGAGGGAGGGAGGAAGAGAAAGAGAAAAGAAAGAGAGAGAGAAACATCTAATGGTTGCCTCCCGTAGGTGCTCTGACCGGGGACGGAACCCACAACCCAGGTATATGCCCTGACTAGGAATCAAACCCGCAACCTTTCAAGGTATGGGACAATGCTCCAATCAACTTAGCCACCCGATTTGGGCTAAAATAGATATAGTTAAAAGCATGTTTATTTAAGAGTAACTCACATACAGACATATATAAACAAACACTTTTAGTCAAATATATGGTTTCAACTAAAGTTAATTACCGATTGTGGCTAAAAGCAACATAAAACTCAAATGTTAACAGTGCTCTTTTCTGAGTAGTAGAATTATTAGATTTTATTTGCTTTTCATTTGTTTAGCAAATTGTCCTATATTTAAAAAATGAATATGTACACGTCCAATAAAACTTTTTAGAGCTTTTTATTTTCAAAGGAGGGCAGAAGAAAGACACTATGGTTCTGACTACCATAGGTGTCTGTAACGACGCTGGTTATTCTCTCAGCCTCACCTGTACAATGGGGATAGGACCAGTAACGGGACACTGAGCGTTCACTGGTGAGAACAATCTATGGCTGTGAAGCACTCTGCACAGTGTTCAGTACATGGCAAGTGTTTCATAAGTGTTAGGTATAGATATTAATCTTTATCTTAAAAATACATAAAGTATGGCATTAATGGAAAAGACAAGACAGGTCAGAAAGTAACTGTAACATCTTACTGTCAGCCAACACACGTAAAACCTGGGTATAGTTCTGAGCCAAGCACTTTGAATCACATTCAACTGTTTATAGAGTACACACAAACAGTATCAAACAACAGCAAAAATACCTGCCATTGTGGAGCTTACACTGAATTCTACACTGTTAAAATATCATCAAACATATAGATGTTTGTCTACTTTCTGTTTATTAATCTCATGGGGAAAATTCACAATATCTGTGCGACTCAAGAGTGGACATTTAGCAGGTTTAGCTAATTCAATTGTTCAATATTGAACTAAACTGAATACCTATGGTTGAATAGAAAAGGAAGCCATTGTGATATGTTATCTACAGTGAGCACCTACTATGTGCCAGCATATCACAACGGCTTCATTATAAAATGTGCCTTAGGCCACCAGAACACTGCACACTAGACTGTATAAAGAGTCTATAAAACAAGAAAACCTGGAAATTAGTATTAGTCTGTGTTTCCAATCTTAGCAGGAACTCATTTAATTTAACAGGCTATTAACAAAATCCTCAATAATCTTTTGGGTGACCAGTCAGGAATTTCTGCCTGTAAGTAAGACATTCTGTCAGTTCTAGACAACATAGGACAATATTCTATGCCTGAGCTTATGCTGGAATGATTACTGTTATTCTGATTTGAAGACTACCAGAACAAATAATATGACTAGAAAAATGGCTTGCACTATCAAACAAAGTAATTGAAAAAGGACTCAGTGCTTTTAATAAAAGTCAAGTAATTATCAATTTTTAGTTAATATTTATAAACTGACAAGTCATGAAGTAGTTAAAAGAATATAACAGGCCCTGGCCGGTTTGGCTCAGCGGTTAGAGCGTCGGCCTGCGGTCCTGAGAGACCTGGGTTTGGTTCCTGCTAAGGGCACGTACCTCGGTTGCAGTTTGTCCCCGGCCCTGGTCGATTGTGCGGGTGGCAACCACTCGATGTGTCCCTTCACATCGATGTTTCTTTCTCTCTGTTCCTTTCTCTCCCTCCCACTCTCCCTGAACAAAAAATGGAAATATGTCCTCGGGTGAGGATAAAAAAAAAAAAAAAAAAAAAAAAGAATATAACAGGATTTCCTAACAGGATTTCCATATTTGAATTTAACTTGCCAACTACCATACATGAGATTAAGAAACTATAAAAAATGGCCCTGGCCGGTTTGGCTCAGCGGTTAGAGTGTCGGCCTGCGGTCCCGAGAGACCCGGGTTCGATTCCCGCTAAGGGCACGTACCTCGGTTGCAGTTTGTCCCCGGCCCTGGTTGGTCGTGCGGGTGGCAGCCACTCGATGTGTCCCTTTCACATCTATGTTTCTCTCTCTCTCTCTCTTCCTCTCTCTCCCTCCCACTCTATCTGAACAAAAAATGGAAAAATGTCCTCAGGAGAGGATTAAAAAACAGCAAAAAAAAAAAAAACCAAAAAAAAAAAAAGAAACTATAAAAAATGTAAATCAAACTAGATATATCTATACAATGGAATATTGCTCAGCCATAAAAAGCACTGGATACATACTACAAGCATGAACCTTGACAACAGTGTGCTAAATGAAAGAAGCCAGGCACAAAAGGCACACATTATATGTGGTTCCATTTATATAAAATGTCTAAGATAGGCAAAGCTACAGAAACAGAAAGTAGATTATTAGTTGTCAAGGACTGAACAGAGTAAAAAGGGGAGTGACCACTAATGGGCATAAGGTTTCTTTTTGGAATGAAGAAAATATCGTTATTTTAGACAGTAGTGATGGCTGCAATACTTAGTGACTGTACCAAAACCTCAAAATTATATACTTAAAAGAGTGAATATTATATGTAAATTATATCTAAGTTAAAAATATATATGTAAAATAAAGCATACCATTTTTTTAATGCTTTTAGAACTCAAAAGCATATAATTTTTTTTATCGAAAGTTCTGACAATTCAATATGACATGTACTTACCAGTTGAAGTTTTGCCATTGTTTCTTCAAGATTCCGCATTTCAGAAAGATTTCTTTTAATCTCTTTCTAGGAATAAAAAGCCTATTAGGTAAACACCTAAAAGTTAAGAATACTTAGCACTAAGTCACATTGCAAATACGACCATTTTTCAAGTAATTCATGCTCCCCTTCACCAGTGAGATCTGAGGCTTTAGCCTTAAGCTCAATTTCAATAAAGAGGAGGCCAAGTTGAGGCTTCTCTTTAATTTCTTGGTATCCTGAATGCTTACAGGGACCTATTTGTAACACCTGAAACAAGAGAGCCACTTGAAAATCTTTTTGCACCTGTATACTTGTAGGGTTTTCCTTGAACCCTAGAGTTTAGAACTCAACTTATGGCACTCTCATTTCCTGATTTTTCTTTCTTTTTTTTTTTTTTATCCTCACCCAAGGACATTTTTTCATTTTTTGTACAGACAGAGTGGGAGGGAGAGAGAGGAAGAGAGAGAGAGGGAAACATCGATGTGAAAGGGACACATCGAGTGGCTGCCACTCGCACGACCAACCAGGGCCAGGGACAAACTGCAACCGAGGTACATGCCCTTAGCGGGAACCGAACCCGGGTCTCTCCGGACCGCAGGCGGACGCTCTAACCGCTGAGCCAAACCGGCCAGGGCCATTTCCTGATTTTTCTATCCTATTTGCTCTCTCCTCACTTGCTACTACCTACCTGAATCCTCTGTACTGCAACCGCTTTCTTTAATTTCTTTTAGCAATATTCTACAGTTTTCAGTGTACGTGTCTTTCACTTCCTTGGTTAAGTTTATTCCTAAGTATTTTATCCTTTTGATGCCATTGTAAATGGGATTATTCATTTCCTCTTCATATTTTGATTATTAGAATATCAAAACACACCTGACACCTCCACAAACAACTCACTCAAGAAGTGGACTGATAAAGTAAGTCTTGCTCTATGTGGTGGGCCCTACACAGCTGATCCTCCAAGGGAGTCAAAGGTCAGTGGGCACAACCAGTCCTTGCAGCTGATCAGCCTGAGTAAATCCCTCCCATTGACAAGCCAACAGCAATCAAGACTCAATTACAAGAGAAGGGTGGACAGTCCACACGAGGGGCGCACCTCAATGGTCCAGCTGGGGTGACCAGGGAGGCCATGCCACTGGACCCTACAGGACACCTACTATAACAGGCCACCCTACAAAGCCTAGGACACATAGTAATTCTACTTAATACATAGAAACAAACACAGGGAGGTAGCCAAAATGAGGAGATACAGAAACATGCTCCAAATGAAAGAACTGAACAAAATTCCAGGAAAGAACTAGATGAAATGGAGATAAACAATCTTACAGATGTAGAGTTCAAAACACTGGTTATAAGGATGTTCAAGGAACGTAGTGAGAACATCAAGGAACTTAGTGAGAACCTCATGAGCATAAAAAAAGACCAGTTAGAAATGAAGGATGTACTAACTAAAATAAAGAATAATTTACAGGGAATCAATAGTAGAGTGGATGAAGCAAAGAAGCAAACCATCGATTTGAAATATAAGAAAACCAAAAACATCCAATCAGAATAAAGAATCTAAAAATATGAGGATAGTATAAGGAGCCTGTGGAACTACCAACATCAAGTGCTAGAAGGAGGAGAGAGACCAAGAAATTAAAAATCTATTTGAAAATTAAGATACCTAGGAATAAACTTAACCAAAGAAATAAAGGACCTATTCGCAGAAACCTACAGGTCATTGAAAAAAGAAATAGAGGAAGATATAAAAAAGTGGAAGCACATACCTTGTTCATGGATTGGAAGAATTAACATCATTAAAATGTCCATACTACCCTAAGCAATCTATATATTCAATGCAATCCTCATCAAAATACCAATGACATACTTCACAGAACTAGAACAAATACTTCAAAAGTTCATATGGAACCAAAAAAGATCCCAAATAGCCACAGCAATCTTGAAAAACAAGAACAAAGTTGGAGGGATCGCATTACCAGATTTCAGGTTATACTACAAAGCCACTGTAATCAAAACAGCCTGGTACTGGTATAAGAACAGGCAGATAGATCAATGGAACAGAATAGAGAACCCAGAAATGGACCCAAGACAATAATTAATATTTGACAAAGGGGGCAAGAGCATACAGTAGAGTAAAGAGAGCCTCTTTAATGAATGGTGTTGGGAAAATTGGACAGCTACATGCAAAAAAAAATGAAACTAGACCATCAACTTACACCATACCCAAAAATAAGCTCAAAATGGATAAAAGACTTAAATGTGACCCGTGAATCCATAAAAATTCTACAAGAATGTAGGCAAAAAAATTTCAGACATCTTACGCAGCAGAATTTTCACTGATACATCACCTAAGGCAATAGAAACAAAAGAGAAAATGAACACAAGGGACTACATCAAACTCAAAAGCTTCTGCACAGCAAAAGAAACAACCACCAAAATGGAAAGGCAACCCACTCTATGGGAGATAAGGGGTTAATTTCCAATGTATATAGAGTGCTCATACAGCTCAACAAAAGGAAGACAAAAAACCAAATTAAAAAATGGGCAGAGGAACCAAAGACACCTCTCCAAACAGGACATACAAACGGCTAAGAGACATATGAAGAAATGCTCAACATCACTAATCACCAGAGAGATGCAAATTAAAACAACAATGAGGTATCACCTCACACCTGTCAGAATGGCCACCATCAACAAATCATCAAACAAGTGTTGGCAAGGGTGTGGAGAAAAGGGGACTCTAGTACACTGCTGGTGGGAATGCAGACTGGTGCAGCCACTATGAAAAACAATATGGTGTTACCTCAAAAAATTAAAAATTGAACTGCCATTTGACACAGTGATCCCACTTCTAGGAATATACCCTAGAAGCCTGAACTACCAATCAGAAAGAATATATGTACCCCCATGTTCATAGCAGCACTATTTACAATAGCTAAGATCTGGAAACAGCCCAAACGTCCATCAGTAGACAAATGGATAAAAAAGCTGTGGTACATATACACAATGGAGTACTATGCAGCTGTAAGAAATAAAGATCTCTTATCCTTTGAAACGACATGGAGGGACCTGGAGAGTATTATCCTAAGCGAAACAAGCCAAGCAGAGAAAGACAAATATCACATGATCTCACTTATTTGTGGAATATAATGAATATAACAGTCTGAGGAATGGGGTAGTCCCAGAGACGTGGAAGTAGGGTACAGACCAACAATCCCCAGAAGGTGGGGGGGTTAAACCACAGAACTGATATGCATGTATGCATGAACAACTGACATGGACAACAAAGCTGGGGACAGGGCGGGGAGAGTGGGGGAGAGGGGTATCAGTGGGGGAAAAAGGAGAAACATCTGTAACAAAAATAAATTAATTAAAAAAAAAGGAAAACATTATAAAATAAAAATCTATTTGAAAAAATAATGACAGAAAACTTCCTTGACTTGGTGAAGAAAATAGACATACAAGTCCAGGAAGCACAGAGAGTCCCAAACAAGATGAACCCAAAGAGGTCCACACCAAGACACATCATCATCAAAATGTAAAAGGTTAAAGACAGAAAGAGAATCTTAAAAGCAGCAAGAGAAAAGTAGTTAGTTACCTATGAAGGAGCTCCCATAAAACTGTCAGCCAGTTTCTCAAAAGAAACTTTGTGCCCTGGCCAGTCTGGCTCAGTGGTTAGAGCATTGGCCCGCAGACCAATGAGTCCCGGGTTGGAGTCCAGTCAAGGGCACATACCTCAGTTGCAGTTTGTTCCCAGCCCTGGTCGGGTCATGCGGGAGGCAGCCAGTCAATGTGTCTCTCTCACATTGATGTTTCTTTCTCTCCCTCCTTCCTTCCCTCCCACTCTGTCCAATGATAAATGGAAAAATATCCTCGGGTGAGGATTACAAAAAAAAAAAAAGAAGAAGAAACTTTGCAGGCCAGAAAGGAGTGGCAAGAGATGTTCAAAGCGATGAAAAGCAACAACCTACAACCAAGATTACTCTATCTGTCCTACAAAGCTATCATTTAGAATCAATGGACATATAAAGAGTTTCCCAGACAAGAAAAACCTAAAGGAGCTCATCACCACTAACCCAGTATTATATGAAATGTTGACAGGTCTTCTTGAAGAAAAAGAACAAAAATATGGTAATAAATACATATCTATCAATAAATGAATACAAACAAAATGAGCAAGCAGAACAGAAACAGACTCATAGATACAGAGAACTTTTTGTTAATTGCCAGATGGGAGCGGGTTAGGGGAATGGGTAAAAAGAGTGAAGAAATTAAGAAGTAAAAATCTGGCCCGGCCGGTGTAGCTCAGTGGTTGAGCGTCGACACATGCACCAAGAGGTCGCCAGCTCGATTCCCAGTAAAGGCACATGCCCAGGTTGTGGGCCAGATCCCCACTGAAGGGCATGAAGAACGTGGTCAATTGATGTTTTCTCTCATTGATGTTTCCATCTCTCTACCTCTCCCTTTCTCTCTCTAAAAAACAATAAAGAAAAAAATTTTTTAATAAAAGAAGTAAAAATTGATTGTGAGACTGAGGAACCTCAAAGGGAAGAGGGGGACAGAAAGAGATAAACCAAAGAACTTATATGCATATATATATATAACCAATGGACACAGACAATAATGTGGGGAAGGCAGGAGAGAATCGGGAGCGGGAAAGAGAGGGGATCAATGGGGGAAAAAGGGAGGACATCTGTAATACATTCAACAATAAAGGTAAATTTAAAAATAAAAAAAACACACACACACCTAATTTTTGTGTGTTGTTTTTGTATCCTGCAACTTTGCTGGGTTTGTTTATTAATTCTGTGTGTGTGTGCTTGTGTGAAATCTTTAGCGTTTTCCACATATATGATTATGTCATCTGGAAACATAATTTTACTTCTTTCTTTTCAATATGAATGCCTTTTATTTCTTTTTCTTGCCTAAGTGCTCTGGCTAGGATTTCTAATACTATGTTGAACAGAAATGACAAGAATGGACATCCTTGCCTTGTTCTTGATCTTAGAGGAGAAGCTTTCCAGTCTTTCACCACTGGGGATGATGTTAGCTGTAGGTTTTTAATATATGGCCTTTATGTTGACGCAGTTTCCTTCTATTCCTCCAGTTCACGGAGGTAACACTGTACAAACTTAATTCACTGATGTATATTAGTGGTGGTCTTCAAACTAGGTTATATCTATTCCTGAGATAACATGAAGACGTTTCAAATAGTATGTAAAACTATCATATACACCTGGTTTTAAAGAATCAATATCTGGATTCTTAATTTGAATATATAGTCCTTAAATTTTATTTACCCAAGAACCTGTTTGTGGTCTGGGTCATGTGAGTTCTCCTTTCCAACCTTCCCTCTCACAACTGCCTTTCTCCCATTTTTCAAAATAAAGGCATACATGTAATGTCACACTGTCTCAAGATATGAAAAACTTTTGAAGCACCACACAAAAAGATAATCTGAAATGTTAGGGTTGGCCAAAACCTTTAATTAAGACATTATTTTCGCTCATTGTATTTTATTAAGAGATGTATTTCTAATTTTTTTAATAAACATTTATCAAAATTTGTGGTATATTTCTCACTTTGACCCACTGATTACTACTAATGATACCACTATTCATAGGAAAATGTTAACCCTGTGGACCTTAAAATGTTAACCCTGTGGACATTTAAAAAAATAAAACAGCCCTGGCCGGTTTTGCTCAGTGGTTAGAGCATCGGCCTGTGGTCCGTAGGGACCCGGGTTCAGTTCCCGCTAAGGGTGCGTACCTCAGTTGCAGTTTGTCCCCGGCCCTGGTTGGGTTGTGCGGGTGGCAACCACTCGAAGTGTCCCTTTCACGTCGATGTTTCTCTCTCTCTCTGTTCCTCTCTCTCCCTCCCACTCTACCTGAACAAAAGATGGAAAAATGTCCTCGGGTGAGGATGATAAAAAATAAAATAAAATGCCCTGGCCGGTTTGGCTCAGCGGTTAGAGCGTCGGCCTGCGGTCCGGAGAGACCCGGGTTCGGTTCCCGCTAAGGGCACGTACTTCGGTTGCAGTTTGTCCCCGGCCCTGGTTGGTCGTGCGGGTGGCAGCCACTCGATGTGTCCCTTCACGTCGATGTTTCTCTCTCTCTCTCCCTTCCTCTCTCCCTCCCACTCTATCTGTACAAAAAATGGAAAAATATCCTCGGGTGAGGATAAAAATAAATAAATAAAAAAAAAATAAAATAAAATAAAACATTTCACTTTATGTATTTTTTATTTCAGAGACATTTGATAGGGTGATCATAAAAAGATATTCGAGCATAGGATAAAATTTTTGAGGATTTCAAGGGAGGGTCATTTGGATTCTACTGGCTACACTTAAAGGAATGATGTGACAGTTTTATTTTAAGGGATCAATATTTACAATAGCTGAAATTACATCCTTTGGACTTCTGGTCAAGATGGCGGCATAGCTAAACGCGGTAACGCGTCCTCCCACAGCCACATCAAAGTTACAACTAAACTACAGAACAACCATCATTCAAAACCGCCTGAAATCAAGCTGAATGGAAGTCCTACAACTACGAAATTAAAGAAGCTGCCACATCCGGACTGGTGGGGGGGGGGGGGCGGCGGCGTGCGGGACGGGCTGGTCCCACACCCACATGTGGCGGATAAAAATCAGGAGGCTCCCGTGGCTGGAAAGGTCCTTCCTGAGGACTGAGGGGTCCCCGTCCCACACTAGGTGCCCTGCTCAGGGTTCCAGTGCCAGGAAGAGAATCCCCATAACTTCTGGCTGGAAAAACCAGCAGGAACTGAGGCTCAGGGAGGCTGAAGCGGCTGGAGCCCCAGGCAGCTCCTTAAAGGGCCCGCGCATGGACTTATCGGACTCTCTCCCTCTAAGCCTGGAGGGGAGGCAGCTCGAGGGGCACCAGAGACATACAGGGAAAAACTGAACTGTTTGGCACTGGAGTGAGGGCTGGAGAGGGGGCTTTCTCGGGGACAAACGTGCTGTCAGAGGCCTTTGTTCCTTTGGTGAGCCCTTCCCGGGGGCGGCAGACAGTCGCCATATCTGGGACTCCAGCAACCTGGCTCACACTGGTAGCCCCGCCCTGATGACTCCCTGAGGCCCCGCCTTGCCCCATCCCACCCAACTTTCAAGCCCACCCAAGCTGTTGCCACTTGCTTAACCAAAGGATTGGCCTGTCTTGGATCCTGCCTCAGGTTTTTCCTAAATTCTTTCAAACGAGCAGCATCTGGTCTCAGCGAGCCCCATACCTCTCATTAAGTAATACACTGAAACAAACACAGGGAGGCAGCCAAAATGAGGAGACAAAGAAACAGGTCCCAAATGAAAGAACAGAACAAAACCCCAGGAAAAGAACTAAGCGAAATGGAGATAAGCAACCTTACAGGTACTGAGTTCAAAATACTGCTTATAAGGATGCTCAATGAACTTAGTGAGAACCTCAGTGAACTTAGGGAGGGCCTCAAGAGCATAAAAAAGGACCAGTTAGAAATCATGGATACACAGTTAGAATTGAAGGAGGCATTAACTGAAATAAAGAATAATTTACACAGCTTCAATAATAGAGTATGTAAATCCAAGGAGCAAACCATCGATTTGGAATATAAGGAAGCAAAAAATGCCAATCAGAACAGCAAAAAGAAAAAAGAATCCAAAAAAATGAGGATAGTGTAAGGAGCCTCTGGGACAACTTCAAGGGTGCCAACATTCGCATCTTGGGGGTGCCAGAAGGAGAAGAGAGAGAACAAGAAATCGAAAACCCGTTTGAAACAATAATGACAGAAAACTTTCCTAACTTGGTGAAGGAAGCAGACATATAAGTCCAGGAAGCACAGAGAGTGCCAAACAAGATGAACCCCAAGAGGCCCACACCAAGACACATCATCATCAAAATGCAAAAGGTTCAAGACAAAGAGAGAATCTTAAAAGCAGCAAGAGAAAGGCAGCTAGTTACCTACAGGGGAGTTCCCATTAGGCTGTCAGCTGATTTCTCAAAAGAAACTTTGCAGGCCAGAAGGGAGTGGCAAGAAATATTCAGAGTGATGAAAACCAAGAACCTACAACCAAAATTACTCTATCCTGCAAAGCTGTCATTTAGAATCGATGGACATATAAAAACTTTCCCAGACAAGAAAAAGTTAAAGGAGTTCATCACTACCAAACCGTTACTATTTGAAATGATGAAGGATCTTTTTGAAAAAAAAGATAAAATGTATGAACAAACAAAATGGCAATGAATACATAGCTATCAACAATGGAATCTACAAACAAAATGAACAGGTAGAACGGAAACATTCTCACAGATACAGAGAACATTTTGTTGGTTGCCAGTTGGGAGAGGGGTTGGGGGAATGGGTGCAAAAGGTGAAAGGATTAAGAAGCACGAATTCATTGCTAGACTGACAAACCTCAAAGGGAAAGGGGTTGGGGGGTGGGAAGAAATAAACCAAAGAACTTATATGCATAACCAATGGACAAAGAAAATAGTGTGGGAAAAGGTGGGAGGGGGGCGGGAGTGGGGAGGAGGGGGGCAATGGGGATAAAATGTGGAACATCTTTTATATCCAACAATAAAGATTTGAAAAAAAAAAAAAATTATATCCTTCGCATCTATTTAAACTTAAAGATAAAAATATTAGCTATCAACTTAAAAATGTGCAAGGACAAAAACAATTTTAAAAAAACCTTTAAGGGGTTTATGAGCACAAAAGGATAAAGATAACAAGCTTCTGAAGTTTGCTCACAATGCAGAGATAAAAGAACGGATGGAAAATGGACAGAGTCTGGAGAGCTACCTTAGAAACAGGCGTGCTTCAGAAACACAAACAAGAACAAATGCAAGCTTTTAGAGGGTATATAAACAACACTTGAAAAAAAATGTGAATTACAAAACAAACAAACCAAAAAATCTGAATGGAATATCAAAAGGGCACAAGCTCACTATGTGCTAGTAGAGTGAAGGAACACTCCTACAACCTAGAAATACCTTTGCTTCCCCAAGTTCTTTATCCGCAGTCTCAAGCACTTCTTCTTTATGTCTTTCCAACTGCTGTGCTAACTGATCTATTTCAGTTAATTCTTGGCAGAGTTTTTCATTTTTGTTACTTAAATTAACAACTTCAGTAGTCACTGTTTCCTTGGTTTCCATAAGCTCTTGTATATGCTTCTCCAGGTCTTTATTAGCTTGTTGAAGAAAGTCAACCTAAATTGAATTTGTAAGAAATATGAAATGAAAAATTTAATACTAAACTTTCAAAATAATATTTCAAAATGCTGTATTTTTAAAATATCAGAAATTAAAACCACAACTATTTTACATTTGCAAGCTTATACTGTTTTGATTTGCAAAACGGATAATGTGTGGTTTAATAAAAATATATAGTTATTGGCTTTAGATTTTCAAGCATGGAAAGAAAAGACAAGTAAAAAAATTGTGTGAACATTTTCCCAACACTGAGTTCTAAAAATATGACCAGAATATCACTCTGATGATAATGTTTCTCTAGACTGTGCTATCCAGTGTAGTGACCATCGCATCCACATGTGGCCACTGAACACTTTAAATGTGGTTAGTCCAAACCGAGATGTGCTATAAATGTAATCTATACACAAGATTTCAAAGACTGCACAAAGAACTAAAGAAAGTGTAAAATACCTCAATTATATTTTACAACATGAATTACAGACTGAAATAATATTTTAAATATATTGTGAGAATGCATTATTAAAATTAATTTCACCTGTTTCTTTTTTACCTTTTTAATTTGGCTTCTAGAAAATTCTAAGTTACATACATGGATCATAAAATATTTGTATTGGACAGCATTACTCTAGAGCTACTGCTGACATTGCTGACTAACTCTGTTGTGGTTCATCCCAGGCAGCACTAACATGTCTGAATTTCTAAAGGTCATGTGTCATGTTTTACAGACTTGTTCTTTTATTTTCAGGTCAGATACGTGGCAGGGAATCCATTACATTGGCAGTTGAAAACTACAAGTTTAATTTTTGCATTTACTTTTTAAATCCTCTTTTTTATATTATAAAAGAAATACAGTCATAATATTTTTGAAAACAAAGAATATCATAAAGAAGACTATCCCATCACATAAAGATAAACTGTTAGTATATTTTGGTTTATTTTCTTCCAGTGTTTTTCCTCTCTGAATTCATATATACATTTAGAAAAAGCAAATTAAAGATCACATTGTATCTACAGTTTATTCTCTTCTTTTAAATATTTAATATTATGGTGCATATATTCCTACCTCATTAAATATTCTTTACAGCCCTGGCCGGTTTGACTCAGCTGTTGGAGCATTGGCCCAAGGTCCAATGAGTTGCGGGTTTGATTCTGGTCAAGGGCATGTACCTCGATTGCGGATCGGTCTCCAGCCCTGGTCAGGGTCACGCGGGAGGCAACCAATCGATGTGTCTCTCTCACATCGATGTTTCTCTCTCTCTCTCCCTCTTTCTCCCTCTCTTTCTCTCCCTCCCACTCTATCAGAAGATAAATAGTAAAAAATATATCCTCAGGTGAGGATTAAAACAATAAAATAAATAAATATTCTTTACAAACATGACTTTTCAACAGCTGCCCCCTATATCTGAATACTTTGGCTCTATCAAATTTTTCCCATTGTAAGGTATACTTCAGTGAACAATCCTGTCACTTTTATAAATCCATGGACCATTAAAAACAGTTAGGGAGTCTGGCCCTGGCCGGTTTGGCTCAGCGGTTGGAGCATCGGCCTGCGGTACAGAGAGACCCGGGTTCGGTTCCCACTAAGGGCACATACCTCGGTTGCAGTTTGTCCAGGGCCCTGGTTGGTCGTGCGGGTGGCAGCCACTCGATGTGTCCCTTCACATCGATGTTTCTCTCTCTCTCTCTCTTCCTCTCTCTCCCTCCCGCTCTATCTGAACAAAAAATGGAAAAACGTCCTCGGGTGAGGATTAAAAAAAAAAAACAGGGAGTTTGTATACTCAGCAAAATAGTAATAAAAGTCATTACCTGAATATTTAAATGAGCAATAATCTTTTCGTTGGTTTTATTTTTAGTCTCCAGAGAGAGGATATCCGAGGAGCGGCCACCGTCCAACGCAATGGACAGTCGTTCTATCTCTCTTTCTCTTAGTTCAATCTGAAGATAAAAAGTTGTATGGTTTTTTTAAAATCTAGTTTTGAACCAAAATGATTAACACTGAATAATCATTTACTCGACTATTTCCATTTTTCTTATGTTGAACAATGTAAACAAGAGATTAACATTCATATATATATGTACCCACACTTTAATGAGATTATGAAATGAACATATGTAGAGCAAAAATAAAAAACACAGAAAATGTCGATTGTCACCCAGCCGGTGTGCCTCAGTGGTTGAGCATCAACCCATGAACCAAAGAGTCACCAGTTCAATTCCTAGTCAGGGTACAATGCCCAGGTTGTAGGCTCGATTCCCAGTAGGGGGTGCACAGGAGGGAGCCAATCAATGTTTCTCTCTCGTTGATGTTTCGATTTCTCTCTCCCTCTCACTTCCTCTCTAAAAATCAATAAAAACACATTAAAAAAAAAAAAAAAAGAATTATCAACATGGCTTTCATAAGTATTTCTATTGGAAAGATTATTCCTAATTTAGTTTTGGGGTTTTTCTCTCCTCTAATAGGCGATGTTTATATAAAAAGATAAAAAGAAACTGTTGAGTATTAAAACTGAGTCTAAACTACTTCAGTGCCTAGTGGAATAAATATAGAATAAAAAAATGAATTTAAAACAAAGAAAAATGAATTGCTACTGAAACTCAGCATTAAAAAAGATAGGAAGCTTGTGTGAATTTTATTATTTATCATTTAGAAAACAACAGACAGATATACAATCAAAAAGATCACTATCAATCATGAATTCACACTTATTCACATGCAAGAAGTTGGAAAAACCCACACACTTTCAAGCTTTGGTTTTTAAAAAATTGAAAATAAAAACAAAGCATTCAATTTACCAATTATTGAGCACAGTTCTAGGTATACAAAGATAAATAAAACATGGTCCCAGACTTTCAGGAATACAACTTTACAGGGAAAACTAGCAAGTGAACAAATAAATGCTGTGTAATATGTTGTTTAATGGTAGACTAAAGGAAATAGGTATATGGCACCAAAGTAGTTAAGGGAATAACATGATTTACTCTTCCCGATATGTGTATACCTTGGAAATCAGTGCAGGTCTTATCAAATAAATACACTCAAAAAAGTTATAAATGATGCTGTGAAGAGGAGGGATATATGTTCTAGGCAGTGACACAGAAGCATAAAACAATGTGCTACATTCGAGGGAATAGAAATGGTTCAGTATGACTGCACTATATGGTGCAAGGAAACAAATGCAGTGGTTGGAGATGAGTCTGAAGAATTAGGCAGAAACGGATTATGATAAACACTGGATACTTAACCAAGGAGACAGATTACTCTGAACTAAAGGATGAATTTGATAAGAATAAACCCAGAGGCAGAGAAACCTACTATAGGAACAGTTGAGAGATGATTAAAACCTAAAATAAAACAGTGGGATAGGGTAGAGCAGAACAATTCAGTTTAAGGAGTGCTTAGGCAGAAGAACTGACAGAACTTGGTGAGCAGTATATGAAGGGAAGAGACGAGATCTAGAAAGACTACAGAATGTTGGCTTCAGCAGATTGTGATGCTAGCAACCAAAGTCGCATACAAAGGAGGAAAAACAGACTTGAGGCAGAAGACAACAAGTTCACACTACCAGGCATATATTCATAAGAAGAGCTTTTATTCAACTGGAAATGCTGTGTTAAGTTGGGTTTATGAGTCTGGAGCTCAGAAGAGAGGTTCAAGCCTGAAAGAGTTTGAGGGAGTCATCAACATACAGGCAATATTTTAAATCAAGAGAGTGGATGAGAGCACTTGAACATACAGGGACAGGAGAGGGGGTCAAAGACAGAATCCTGGAAAACAGTAATACTTCAGGGAATGGGCAGAGGAAAAAGCAAGGAAAAAATTAGAAGGGGTTAAACAAAAGAAAACCAAAACAAAATGAAGTCATGGAAAAGTTTTAACAAAAAATTATTGATAATGCCAAATATTACATAGAGCGTCAAGAAAATATAGACTAAAAGTATCTTTTGTATCTAGCCATTAATGTCACTGGTATCATTAACCAGACCAATTTATGTAGTGGGGGTAAGGAGAAAGAAGCCAGACTACAATAGATTAAGGAGTGAACAGGGGTAAAGTGGAGACAGAAGAGGAAGACGCTCTAGAGAAGTCTGCATGAGGGAGGAGAAGGCACTGGCAAGTTGGAGAGGTTTAAGAGATTTTTTTAAGGAATGGTAGTGATGACTATCATAGCACCTTCTCCTATGACTGTTACGAAGTGGCCATATAAGTGTTTGGTAAAGAAAAAATAATCAATTAAAGCAAGGTTTTAAGGAGAAGAGAGGAAATGGAACCAAACCCAGAGGCTGAAAGGCTAAACCTTAAACTGGAAAAAAATTATCCTATGCAGTAAGTCTTCAGAGCCTGAATGTGAATGAATACTACTAATTTTAAAGGTAGAGATAGGAAGTTGAAACAAGGTAATATACTGAGGAGGAGGGTACTATAAGTTGGGGAAAAAGTTTGAGAGAACAGTAAAATTTATAATGTATGCTGACAAAAACAGAACTCAAGCAAAAGAAAAAGGTAGGCGGCAGAGTGGACTTAACTAAGATTGATAACCACAATTGGCGGTTTCCATCAGAACGGTGAGGCTATTTTCTCCAAATACCTCAGCCACTTGAAAGAGATAGTGAAGCTGGTGGGTTCATGTTCATAAAGTACTTTGAAGAAAATGTGATTATAGGTTGAAAAATACAAATCATATTCAACTCATGTGCATATTTGATACTTTCAACATCTCTCCATAAAGTAAGTTTTTTTGGCTGACATTACTGTAATTCCTTTTCTTTTCATTCCATTTTTATCAAAACAATCTTCAAAGTACTTTTCAAATGTGAGAGTTATACTAATACAAGTTAAATCTATATTTGCATATGCAGATCACATCACTCCAAAAAATGCAGAAAATGAAAAATGTGTTACCCAATTTAAACTTCAGTAAGCATATTAAGGAAGAAAACCTGTAATTACCTAAACCAGAATTTAGTCAAAACACCAACAGAAAGTATGAAAGAACAAAAGTTGTATGGTTGTGATCTAAATCTGTATCTATTCATTCCCCCACTTACGTCGTTAGAAAACTGTTTTATGAGATACTATTACTTGTAAAAAAAAAACCCAAATATGGCAACAGAAGAGTAACTTTCAAAGAGACATTCAAAATTACAAAATCTATAAGTTTAGAGTAAAAAAACAAATTAAAAGACCTTCAAAAACCATAATTATTAAAATACCTCCTGAGATGAAAACAGTAATATAGTCATAAAATTATATTTGGGGAAGTAGATAATTCACCTAAAAGAAAAATAAAATAACAAAACGAAAAACTACTATTCACCTAAATGCATAAAAGTGAATGGACTAGAACTGCTCTAAAGCCATCTAAGCCACTCCAACTATTAACTCTATTAACACACTGATGAGATATAAAAGCTGTATAAAAACTCAGTATCAGTAATATCAAATATAACCCAATTCTATTTACAATCAAAGTATAACCATCTCAATCCCTACTATGAAAATAAATAAAAATCCTACCTGATTGTTATAATCTCGCAGTCCACTTTCCATCACTGCTAATTTTTCTTGTAACTGATGGACTTCCTCTTGAAGTTCTTGAATTCTGAAACACATTCAGAGCTAATGCCAATACACTTTTGTTAAGAAATACAAAATAATAAGAAATGAAACTAGACACATTCTTTTATAAACTCTCTACTTTCTGTTTCTCAATGAACTACAAAATAGTGTGCCATGCATAGAGTATATCATCTTGAGTGGTAAATAATTTGAAACTCAGCTGCATCACACAATAAAAGACATACTACTGTACTTTGATCCTTAGGACAACTCTTTGAGATGCTGCTGCTAATTCTTAGGCTCAGGAAATTGGGGGTATAGTGTAAAATTATTAAGTGAAATAAGGGCCTTAAGTGGGTTTTCTGATCCTGACTCTGTATTTTCTAATAAACTATCCTATAATCCTGGAGAGAAGAAAAATATTAAGAAATACTACAATTTCCCAAGTAATTATAGCAAAAAAAAAAAAAAAAAAAAAAAAAGCTACTCTTTTCCGGAACTTGTTAATTCTAACAGAATCAAGATTTGATCAAATCACCTGAATTCTGAATTCTGCAATTGCCCAAATGTATTTGTACTACATCCAGCCTTTCCAAGCATTAACATATAAATGACACAACTGTTTTCATACTAGAAAGATAAAGCCTAAAGCCAGGTCAGCTTTTACGAAAGATTTTCCATGGGGTGGAGTAAGTGAGGCTGGACACAGCTCTCACTTTTCCTGGTGAGAACCCACACTTTCTGGAACCCACATTTTCTACTAATCTAGGTTTAGGAAAAGAGTACATAAGCAACTGCACTCATTTATATGCACAAATGACTGAATGCAAACATAATATGCATGTGCATATTAAAACAAACAAGATAATCAAGAGACTGATGTCACCCCTGATGATTTGACAGAAAAGAAAAACAGGAAGATAAAGACAGAAAATGATACATATGCAGCCAAAAAAACTTCCTAAATTATACTAACATATTGTCTAAGAAGTCCTAGATTATAACTGTAACAGAAGAACACAAAATATTTCACGGTTAAGGTCAGATAACTATATAAATACAGTTATTGTGTGAGAATAAGTGAGCTAAGAGATCCTAATGGGTACCTCAACCACAGTATTTTTTAGATTGTTATATTGAGATTAACAAAGTGAAAAAACTGCCCCATATTCTCTGCATAATCTACAAAACTAAAAGTTATCTGCACTAGCTCTGACTAGGTGGCTCAGCTGGTTGGAGCATCGTCCTGTGCACCAAAAGGTTGCAAGTTCAGTTCCCAATCAGGGCACATTCCTAGGCTGCAGGATCACTCCCTCGTTGGGGTGCAAACAAGAGGCAACCAATAGATGTTTCTCTCATATCAATGTTTTTTCCTCTATCTCTCTCCCTTCCTCTCTCTCGAAAATCAATAAACATATCCTTGGGTGAGGATAATACACAAACAAACAAATAAATAAAAGTTATCTGGCCCTGGCCGGTTTGGCTCAGCAGTTAGAGCGTCGGCCCGCGGACCAGAGTTCTGGGTTCAGTTCCCGCCAGGGGCATGTACCTCGGTTGCAGTTTGTCCCCAGCCCCGGTTGGGGTCGTGTGGGTGGCAACAGGTCAATGTGTCTCTCTCATATCGATGTTTCTCTCTCTCTCTTCCCCCCTCTCTCCCTCCTGCTCTATCTGAAGATAAATGCAAAACTATCCTCAGGTGAGGACAAAAAAAAAGTTATCTGCACTATTTCCATTGGTGTGTTCCATATTTTAAAATGTTTCTCCAGCTATGATAGAAGCTGTTACTAGAGTTTTCTTGTTCCTTTGAACCCCTTATAATTTTCTTAATGGCCTTTTGTATATTTCCCATTTCTTCTTCACTCCTAGGTGGTGAGCTTCTCAAAAGCAGCAACACCATCTTATTCATTTTTACATCCTCAGAACACTTATATCGTGCCTTTCCTAGAAAGCTTAATGAAGTTTTAATTGATATGAAATTTATGATTCCAATTTAAGCAAATGCAAACATACAGAGCTAAAGAATCAAGAATTTCATAGCCAGTTACAACTCTATACAGGTCCATCAGCATTTGATATAAATCTGAAATAACAGAGTCCTATAAAAGATAACTTTTACTTTGGATGATGAAACCAAATGTCAAAGCAACTCTACTGAAATAGGTTCCAGATTGCACTAAACTGTTTTAAAGAAAATATGGACAGAAACATCAGGCATATGATCTATCTGAAAGCAAAGTTTCGAAACAAGTAAAAACAGTCTATATTCAGAATACATTCAGAAAGTATTAACTGAGTGCCTGTGCAAAGTTCTGTGGTAGGTACTGGAGATACCACAGTTAATGAGACAAAAGTCCTACTGTCAAGAAATTTAGTTAATCAAGTGATCAATTAACTAAAGTCAACAAAAATTAATTAGTGCACCTGTTATCAGCCACTTGCAGGAGGTCTGCAATGTAAGGGTCATCTGGCTGAGGAACTGGATAGGAACTGACTTCAGAGGGAGGGACCGGTTCATCAATTTGCATACGCTGGCGCCTGAAAGCAATACTTCTTTTCTTGCCTCCTAAAGAAAACAAATGTGTATTTCAAAAATTAAAAAGAAACAAACTATTGTCTTAGAATTAAATATTTCAGGTTAGCCCTTTTGTGATAAAGTATGTCTCTAGCTCATATTATATATGGATATTTTCTCCCCCATATATAAATATCCACCCTGATCTTTAAATGATGCCTTCCTGAAAATCTCAACAGACATGTTTTATTTTCTGCATGCTTGGCATGTGTGCACAGATTTAATCTGTTCCTCCACTAGATGGGGACCAGATATTGACAAGATTAAAACTTGAGTGGTGTTTACTATCGTGAGCTCAAGAAGTCACAACCAATAGAAAACTGTCAAACAGGTAGCTTAAGGCAGTCAGAATTGCCTTAATACACTTACTTATTAAGCAATGCCAAAAGAGCAGATAACTGAAATTTTAAGTAGTAAAATGAGTATATAATGGAATGTCAGCTATAATATAAAATCATGCTATAACCTGAATTGATAGGGAATGTTTTATTAATTATCCTTAAAAATAGGAGTAATTTCTTTTTATGAATAAATATATCTCATCTTAGTACAAACAACATGGATAATTTACCTTTTCCAGCATTTAGCTAAGATTAGACATGTACTTTAAAAACTGATCCTCACAAAGAAAAACATAACCCACAATTTTGTCTTCCTTAGAATCCTAACAAATTTGGTTCCTCTTATCTCTCATTTTGAGGATGAAGCAACTGAATCAAAAGTATTTAAATGACCTCCTTGTAGTTATACACCTAAACAAGACAAACCATTTTCTTCCTTTGTTGCTCCTCATTTTCTTTCAATGATCTTTTTCCATCAATCCCTTAAATACAAACTTCCTTAGGATCTGTCTTTGGTTCTCTTCTCTTCCCAAACTACATAATCTCATTAGATAATTCCTTCCACATCCATGGCTTCAATTCCCAAGATACTTCAATGACTCCCAACTTGGATTTCAATCTATGTAGAACAGATCTACATACCCCCCTTTGTATGATTGTCCCTTGTAACACTTTCAATATATCCAAAAGTGGATTCCTACTCCACTTCCACATTCTCTATCTTAAGAAATAGTACCATTATCCACCCACTGAGTCATTTGAAACAGAAGTCTGAGAATTCTTCTTACCTTCCAAGTCTAACCCATTCGGTTATTAAATTATAGGGATCATACTCCCTGAATCTCTCTTGAATCTGTTCCATTCTTTTCCCAGGAAATCAGATTATCCTCCTTTTTTCTCAGTCTTCTGGTTACTTCTGAGATATTTCCCACTTTTCCTCATCTTTTCTGCCATTGGCTCACAGTCTGCTTCTCCATCTCATTTCCTACCATCTCGGTTCTTCCCCACTCTGGCCTCTCTGTTCCTAATCTGTCAGGTCTCATGAATTTCCTCTCCACTCAGCTTCAAGCACACAAAAACATGATTGTGCTTGGACTTTGTTTCCACTTAGAACTCTGCTAGCTTCTAGATCTTCAACTCCCTTCTGATCACAATCTTCATCTGACCAAATTACTATTGGTCCATATTGTGCTCTTTAATCTCTGTCTTTTTTTTTTTTTTTTTAAATCCTCACCCGAGGACATTTTTTCTATTTTTTATTCAGATAGAGTGTGGGAGGGAGAGAGAGAGAGAGAAACATCGACGTGAAGGGGACACGTCGAGTGGTTGCCACACACACGACCCAACCAGGGCCGGGGACAAACTGCAACAGAGGTACGTGCCCTTAGTGGGAACCGAACCCGGGTCTCTCAGGACCGCAGGCCGACACTCTAACCGCTGAGCCAAACCGGCCAGGGCTAATCTCTCAGTCTTTACCTAGTCTCATAATCCAACACTTTTCTATGTCTTATTTACTTCTATAATCTTGATCCTATGGTTCAGACATCTCAATGGTCTTGTCACTAGTACTGGACATTCTTATGCCTGGACAACCATCAACTTGGATATGCCCCATCATTTCTTTTCTCTTGCTCGAGAACTACTGAGCATAAAGCTAAAACTAGTAAAATAAACAAAGAACACAAATCTTTTCCAAATTCTTTGAGTATTGATTACTTTTACAACTAAAATAATATTATTAATAGGAAAGAGAATTTAAAACAGTGATTTAAGAAAAGAGACTCTGGGCACTGAAGTTCAACTTCTTAAATTTAAGAAGCTATTATTATATAAATTTCTAAGCACAAGTAAAAAGTACTACCTAGTCAGAAATAAAAGTTTGTGTGACTATCCAAATACATCTTTTCAAATACTAATGTCTAAGCATGAAACTCCAAAGTCCTATTTTAGTTAATAGTTTAAATAACTTTAAAAGATTAGATGTATATAATTTGTTTGAAGAAGGAACAGACTTACCTGGAGTTTGTACGACAGCATGCAAATTCTTTTCTTGAAGTTGCTGAATTTTTTCATTCTTAGCCTTGCTCTCTTTCTCCAACAGTTTGAGTTTATGAACATATTGGTTATTTAGAAATTTCAGATCAGCTGTTTCACGTGTACACTTCTTCAATGTAGTTTTCAACTCTTAAAAGGTTCAAAGACTATTTTACAGATCTATGAGGTTCTTCCACTTCACAAAATACAAAAAGTCACCAATTTGAGCCCTGGCCAGTTTGGCTCAGCAGTTAGAGCATTGGCCCTTGAACTGAAGAGTCAAGGGTTCAATTCCCAGTCAAGGGCACATACCTCAGTTGCAGGTTTGATCCTTGGCCCCAGGAGGCAACCAAATGATGTGTCTCTCACATTGATGTTTCTCTCTGTCTCTCTCTCTCTCTCTCTCTCCCTCCCCCCACCTCCCTCCCACTGTATCTAAAAATCAATACAAAAAATATTCTTGGGTAAAAATTTTTTTGAAAAAGGCACCAATTCGAAAGACTCTACCTTATTCTTAGGCATTCTTTATTTGAAAGGCTATTATCTTTTCTACCACTATTAAGAAAAGTGCTTGAGATGACATGGGGGGACCTGCAGAATATTATGCTACGTGAAATAAGCCAGTCAGAGAAAGACAAGTATCACATGATCTCACTTATTTGTGGAATATAATGAACAAAATAAGCTGATGAACAAAACAGACCCAGAGACATAGAAGTAGGATCAGACTGACAAACTTCAGAGGAGGGGGCGGGGGAGAGGGAAGAGATAAACCAAAGAACTTATACATATAAGCATAACCAATGGACAGAGACAACAATGCCAGGGGTGGGGGGTGGAATTGGGAGGAGGGTGTCAATGAGGGGAAAAGGAGAAACATCTGCAACACAAATAAATTAAAAAAAAAACAAGAGAAAACTGCGAACAAGTCTTTAAGCACAAAAGGGAATTATATTATTATTCTGCTGTATAAGGCTAATATATACCATAGGTTTGATCCAGTAACCTGGGTATGAAGCTAAGAAATTATGAATTCAAGCCAGGCTTTGAACAGGGATTTCAACTGAATGTAAGAAGAATTCATAGTAATACAGTCATATATACCCTTTGCCCAATACTTTTGAAATCATTTTATGGTACCTTCTAGCTCAAAGATGAAGTATTAAAGAATCAGAATGATATATGGCTTTTAACTTACTTTAATACTCTTATTTCCAGTATAGGAAAAACAAAAGTTGTTTCAAGAACATTCCCTCAGTTCCAGCATTTAATCTTTTCTATTGAAATTGTAAATATAAAAATTAAATACAGATATAGTGTAGACAAATACAGATATAGAATAAAAATTTATTTTACTTCTAGGAACTCTTCAACAAACCCTACAGGATTTCAAGAGCTGTTAGCAAAAAGACTACCACATTTTTTAATCAATGGTTTTAAAATTAGACTAGCTTTTCCTGCATATAAAAGGAAAGGGATAAAATATGGCGTAAAAAAAAAAATCACAAATTTACCCAGCAGTGTGGCTTACTTGTTGAGTGTCAACCCATGCACCAGGAGGTCGCTGGTTCGATCCCCGGTCAGGGCACATGCCTAGGTTGTGGGCCTGATCCCCAGTGGGGGGCATACAGGAGGCGGCCAATCGATGTTCTCTCATCAATGTTTCTCTCTCTCTCCCTCTCCCTTTCTCTCTTTCTAAAATCAATTTTTAAAAAAATATTTTTTAATTTTTTTTTTTTTAATTTTTAATTTTTTTTTTGTTACAGATGTTTCTCCTTTATTACCCCATTGGCACCCCCCTCCCCATCCCCCCCCCCCGCCCCGACCCCGGCTTTGTTGTCCATGTCCATTGGTTATGCGTACATGCATATAAGTTCTGTGGTTTATCTCTGCCCAACCCCCACCCCCTCTTCTGAGGGAAAAAATTTTTTTTAAATCACAAAATTTTACCTTTAAGGTGTTGGGCTGATTGTTCTCTCAGTTTCATTAATTCCAGGTATAATTCATTATTTTCCTTGCTCAATTTTGCATTTTCAAGTTTATAAGGTTCCAAAACAAAATCAAAATTGGCACTTTCTTTTTCAGCTTTCCCAGCAGATAATTTTGATTTCCGAAGACTTTCTGTTGTATGAACTAGGTCACTAGAATTAAAGAATAGAAAAAGTAAATACAAGGAAACAGTCCATTAATTTTCTAATAACTAAAAATATAATTATAAAAGGCTTAAATATGTTAAATGCTAACTGAACACAAATCTAAAAACAAACACTAGGAGTCTTTCAAGGTACCAGGAAGTATTAAGAAATTTCTCAAAACAAGACTGATTAATAGTTATATATTATATTCACATAGTTAAAATCATCTTTGAATCTCTCCTCCCGCTCATTCTCCCAAGTCCCATTATTCACCTGATCCTGTGGAATCTGTGAAACTTACTTGTTCATTCAGTGTCTGCTATATGCTAAGTGCCAGGTACACAATAAATAAGAATTAATTCCTTACCTCAAAGAACAGAGACTAGTAGAATATTTACTCCAACAATATTTCTTGAGCAGGGAACACAATAAAGAACCCACTGTCATGGAAATTGTATCCTACTGACACTTTGTCAAAAAGTTATAATACTATGTGATAAACTCAACAAACATTTCAGTTCCAACTATGTGTTCAGCCTGTCCTAGGTACAGCAGTGATAAAGTCAGTCTGTAGTCTCATGGGGTTTGAATTCTAAAGGGAAGTCAAAAAGAAGTTTCCAATAATGATAAATAGTTAAGTGGCATATAACAGCCATGATAGAGTCAGCAGACCATACAACTAACCAAGCACAAAGGCAAGGGAAGAGGGAAAGGCAAAGGGACTTTACAGGCACACAGAACAGCACATGGAAAGACCAAGGGTGAGAGTGTACATGTTTAGGGAGCGTCAAGTGGTTTAATACATGGGTGATGAAACTGCAGGGACTAGATGAGGAAGGGTTTTGAAGGCAATACTGAAGATCACAAAATATTTTTCACCCATTCTTTTTCATCATCATCTCTTATGCAGCAGTGATTTTCAACCTTTTTCATCTCATAGCACACGTAAATTAATTACTAAAATTCTGTGGCACACCAAAAAATATATTGTATTTTTTACCAATCTGACAAAAAAAATTGGTATAATTTTGATTCATTCACACTAGACAGCTATTGTTTTGTTGGCTGTTGTCAATTTTTTATTTGACAGTCTAAGGGAAAAGAGGTCAGTGCCCCTGACTAAATGGTCAGGTAGTACCTGTTTTAAAATTCTCGTAGTACACCCACTGAAATTCCATCCTATTACAAAAGCTTCCTAAGCAATTTCTCTGCTTCAGCCTCAAACCACAGTAACAGAGCTCATGTGGAAAAGAAAATCACAAAGCATCTTTCAATTAAGGTAATATGTAAAAGCTAAAGAAATGACTAACCACACATTGGCGAACCATTATTAATGTAATAGTAATTAAAGACCAGTGAGTGAGGCCAACACAGAACTCCCAATCATATCAAAAACCACATAAAAAAAAACACATGAATTCTATTCACAGGGAAAACCCTCAGAAATTTCTACTCTAGACAGTACAATGTGAATGGTGACCCCTGGACTTTCACAATGTGGAGACTCTGAATTGATGACGGGGAAGTAGGATCTAAGACAAATAGATGTGACTGGGATGATTTAAAGGCTTTTCAAAAATCTACCATTTCTTTACTGAAGCATAAAGTTCAATCACACACCAGATAAATGGGATTAAGGATCATACAGGTTTAGAGCTGTATTTTCATCTTTACCTGAAGAGTTTTTCTACCAAAGGTAAACACTCCACTGTCAGAGTCTGGCGGTATCCCAACTGATCCAATCTTTTTCTAATATTAATATACTTTCTTTCTGCAGCTGTAGTCATCTTGTCTTCCAAAACTAGTTTTATTCACTTCCAAAAATTAAAGTCCTAAAAGAAAAGAGTGAAACATCATTCTATTATTATAGCTATTATTATTGTTTCATGATAAGAAGGAAATATTCTTTTAATAGAAAGCAATTATTTTTTTTCTCTTTAGTTAGGAAGACTTCTGGAGTATTTAGAATGATTTAAATAGAATGATTATGATATTCTTGTTACTGCATTAAAATGATTATCTGTCCATAAACTATATGTAACAGTGAAAAATAATAAGCTTCTAGAAGAAAACAAAGAAGAGTATTTAATCAAGCCTGGGGTAGGAAGAGAATCCTTAGAGAAGTCTCTTTAAAAGGCACTAAATATGAAAGAAAAATTTTAAAAGTTGGACTTCATCAAATTAAAAATGTTTGCTCATCAAAATGTTCCATTAAAAAAACAAAAAGGCAAACAAAAGTAGGAAAAAATATTCATAATATCTAAAAAGGATTTGTATAAATAATATATAAAGGACTCTTGCAATTCAATTCTTAATAAAGACAAATAACCTAAAAAGAGAATGGGCTAGAGTTAAAGAGGCACCTTACAAAAGATATCTGAATGGGAACTGTCACATGAAAAGATGCTCAACACCATTAGCTATCAGAGAAATACAAATTAAAACCACAATGAGGTACAATTTCACCCACAGTAGAATGACTAAAATTAAAAGTACAATACTGCCGGGCCAGTATAGCTCGATTCCTAGCCAAGGCACATGCCCAGGTTGTGGGCCCAATCCCCAGTGAGGGTCATGCAGGAGCCGGCCAATCAATGTTCTCTCTCATCAATGTTTCTCTCTCTCCCTCTCCCTTCTTCTCTCTCTAAAATCAATAAAGAAAGAGTATTAAAAAATAATTTTAAGAAAAGTACAATACCAAAAGTTGTCAAGGATTTGGAGCAAATGGAATCCTTACACTGTTGACTAGAATGTAAAATCACTGTGGAATATATCTGGCAATTTCTTATAAAGTTAAACATACTTCTACTCTATAACTCTGTAATTTTATTCCTAGGAATTTGAGGGAATGAAAATAAACATCTACAAAGAGAATACAAGAATATGCATAGCAGCTTTATTTATAATAGCCCATACTGGAAACAAACTATATAGTCATCAACAGCAGAATAAATAAACTGTGATATATTTATACAATGTAGTACTACTCAGAAATAAAAAGGAAGAAACTACAGATACATGTCAACCACACAGATGAATGTGAATAACATTATTTGAGCAATAGAAGCCACCCACATAGACTATATGATTCCATTTATATAAAGTTCAAGAACAGGCAAAATTAAACTGTGTGAACAGAAATTAGAACAGCAGTCATCTGGGGGCATATGGGTGGGTGGAGATTGACTGGAAGGGTTAAGAAGGAACTTTCTGGGGTGATTAAAATACTATATTGATTGGGGTAGTGGTTACACAAGCATGCATTTATCAAAGCTTTTCAATTACGGACACTTCAGATTTGTGAGTTTCACCATGTAAATTTTACTTTGATTATAGAAAACACATAAGTATTTCTAATACACGTTTTTATCCTTGTCTTTTAAACTGCTTATGAATCTATTCTTTATCAATCTGCTCTAAAAGGCAGTTATCCAAAGATCACTTCTTTAGAATCTTTGCTCTTCTCTAACCTTTGCCAGGACAATATAGTCCTAATACTCTAATCCAAATAAAAACGTTTACAGCTCTCTGTTCTTCACAATTTATAAACCCTGAATACATGCAAAAGTTGATCCTCACAACGACTGGGTCAGGCAGAGGAGGCCAAAGAGGACCTCCCTATTCAAAGGTGAGGAAAGGCTGCCCCCAAGAGAGGAACTTTCCCGAACCACAGAGCCACAAAGTAGGTGGGCAGCCAAGTCTCTCGAGCCCAGCACTCAGGTTTCTGTACCATGCCACCTCATTACCAAATCACTTGTACCTCTCCTTAATTTTGCTCCATTCTACAAATCTTTCTTTTTCTACTCTCCCTAACCCTTCCTTTCCTCTGAGTGGTGTCCCTTTGGTCTTTCTTGGTTCCTTCCACGAGAGGGACCTGATGCAAGGTGCTTTAGAGAAACTGCTGGAGACAACACAAATACACCTGTCAAACCGACAACTAGCGGGGCGTCACCACTCAAACACTGCCTCTCTTTGTCTGGTACCAACTTTGGTTACCCAGAAATAATGCTTCCGTACATCCTGGAGAGGGAGGGAAGAAGAGAATGAATGAATGAATGAATGAATGAATGAATGAGAGTAAAAAACTCAATACAGAACAGGTGAAAAAGATTAAAATCCTTCCAGGGACAAAACAAAGCACGTAGTAGACTCTCCTCATCCATGGGCTTCTGTGCGCAGCCCCGCCCCAACTCCACCGTCCAACCCTGCGGCCGTACTGAACGCGTCTAGCAAAACACAGGACGTCGGCTGCTTCACTCTGGGGTGGCGTCTGGAAGCCGGCACACCTTATCCCATGGCCTCCTGTGTGTCTGTATGCACAGGGGCTGAAGCCCACCAAAACCCGACCTTAGGGGAGACTCCAAACAGCGGAGTCTGGAAGGTGGGCGGGTGTACTCACAGGCGCGGGGCAGAGATGAGCACAAGGCTCTCCTCCTGGGCTTTGGGGCATGTCCGTGTTTACAAAGAGCACGAACGACTCCTGTACGAGGAGGGCGTTTTAACTTTTAAATCAACCCGTCCGTCCGTGGTTGGCCGGCCCGCACGGAGGGCCCCGACGCCCGTGGGAAGCCGGACGGGAGGCGACCCGGGAGCCGCAGGACGACCTCCGGCCACGGCGGACGGCCGGGGTTGAAGGGCAGGGGAGTCGGAAGCGGAGCTTGCGGGGCCTCTCCGCGCCCCGCCCCGCCCGGGCCCACTTCCTCCCGCGGCCGCGCGGCCTCCCTCCCGGCAGCGCCCGGGCCGGCCCGCGGGGACCGCCCGGGAGGCGAAGGCGTCGCCGCCCCGCCGGGCCCTGCAGCCCCCGGAGGCCGCCCTCACCCGCAGCTCTGGCCGCCGCTCCCTCCGCCCGCGGTCGCATCGTCCTCGAGCCTGCCTCCCTTGTGAGCTCCTTCCGCCCCAAACGCGGCTCGGGCGCTAGGGCAGTTTGAAAATGGCGCGGAGACGATCCAGCCGGCGCGGGGAGGCGCCGTCGTTGCCCCGGTAACGGGAGCGGCGAACCGAGCGGCGCGTGGCGGGGGCGCGCCCGGCGGCGATGGCAGCGCGGGGCCCCGGGGCCCGGAAACGGATCGGCCTCGGCGGCGCGAGGCCACGGCGCCCCCAGGCGGCCGGAAACCCTGCACCACAGCGCACGTCGGAGACGGCGACCTCCTATTGGCCGGGTGCTTGACCTCTGGCACCGAGGTCCACGCTGCCCCAGCCGCGTACCCGAAAGGGCTAACCTTCACCGGCGGGGGACGCCTACTCTGCAGGGCAACTCCAGCTTACCTTCACTAGGGCGTGGACAACCAGTCGGTTTCACTGAGCGGATGGGAGCTGGACTTGAACTTCGAAGCAGCCATACTTGGATGCATAAAGAAGAGGGAGACAGAGATTTGGGCAGGGGAGGAAGGAGAGGAGATAACGCATCGAGAAAGATCCGGATGGGGAAGCATGATGATCAGTAATAAGAAAGTCGACACTCTGCTGGGGACGGGGATGAGCAGAGTGGCATAGATAAGACTAGAAGTGAGAAGCGACATCAGATTACTAAAGGACTCACCAAATGCTAGATTTCAGTGCTGGAACGTTGTCCACTATGTAGTGGAGAATGACTGAACATGTTAAAATGGGAAAAATCACACAATGAAATTAGTTTTGGGGAAATTATTCAGGGGGGTAGAAGGATGGATTGGTGAATGGTGCAGAAAACATGCAGGTCAAGAGAAGATTATTTCAATGATGAGATAAAGGTGTGAGGGAAAAGTGAGAAATATTACAAAGGAAGACTGGGTAGGGCAGAGTGAGGGGCCAGCCTCTGGTTGAATGAGCGGAATGAATCCAGGTAAAAATCAAGGCTTTGAGCTTCAGAGACTGAACCATGTGTTTCCGTCCAGATGCTGAGATGGTTTTATCAGAAAGTCATCTTGGAGTGCACTGGAGCAGGAAAGGGACAAGGGGTAGATAGTAAGTTTGGTCTGTGATATGAGGCATGAGATGATATTACAAAAATGTCCAGGTGTGGCATAATAAGAGAGACATTTGGTCTTTGTCCCTGGTTCCTGGCACAGGGCTCCTAAGTCCTTGGAATTTCCTTGTGATGAGGGTGATAGGAGGGTGTTTTGTTCTAATGAAGTGATTCTCAGCAGGGCCCTAGACAGCTTCAGGATGGGGGACAGTCACAGAAAGACCAAGCCTTGATTAGAAGCTTGGAATTTTCAGCCCTACTTCCCAAACTCCGGAGAGGGAACAGGGAGATTGAGATAATCACTAACTTCCAATGATTTAATCAATCACACCTATGTAATGGAACCTTCATGGAAATCCTAAATGACAGGATTTGGTCAATGTGGGTTGGTGAACATATCTAGGAGCTAGGAGGGCAGAACATCTGGAGAAGGCATAGCAATTCACTATCCTGTACCTGTACCTTGCGCTGTGCATCTTTTCCATCTGTCTTGTATCCTTTATAATAAACCGGTAATAGTAAGTAAAGTGCCTTTCTGAGTTCTGTGAGCCATTCTAGGAAATTATCTAACCTCAAGAGGGCCATGGGAACCCCCGATTTATAGCCAGTCAGTCAGAGTACAGGAGGCTGGGGCTTGTGACTGGCATCTGAAATGGGAGGTAGTCTTATGAGACTGAACCCTTAACCTGTGTTGCCTGTGCTAACTCTGGGTTATCAGTGTCAAAATTGAAATCTGGACCAGTAGGTGTCCTGAGAGTTGGAGAAGTAGTTTTGTCAAGACTCCATGTATTTGGTGTCAGGAGGGATGGGGGGAAGCTCCTCTCATTGGCTCTCAGAGGTGTTGTGAATAAAAACAATTCGCCAGGAAACACTGGGTGAATGCAGGTA